TAGTTCAAGGTAGATGCCAAAAACCCTTGATTGTCAGTCATTAGCTTAATCAAGTAGTCAAGTAGTTTGTCTTCGATGAATAACCTAATTAGTGGATGGTGTTAAGACACATTTCCATACATCTTTTGGTGGGTGATTTATACTGTAAACAATTTTCTTGATGTCACGGCTAAGGATAATTTTAATTTTGAAGCTTATCCTAAACCATTTGTGTTGGTAACAGTTCACAAAAGGCCAGCCAAGTTGGAGAAAACTTTGGAAATTTCCTTGGATTTCATGCCAAAATCACTAGATTAGAATCTCAATAAAGTCAAAAATTATGAGTATTTAATTCATTTTGCGATGAGGCCGAAGCTAAACCTTTTATCTACTTTTGAGGCCACCAAGAAATTGGATTGGACGGTGGGCGTGCTCTTCGGATTTTAAAAAAATGTACCTCCAACATGTTTTTCTCATGTAAAGTTGCATGCAATGTTTGATAATTACTTTACATTATTTTAGTATTGGTCAGAAAGATCAGCTTTTTCAACTTTGGTACAAAAGTACAAAGAAAGAGGCATTAAGTGGACCTTCAATTGAAAATTGTAGTTCTAATTAACTAGTACCATAACCTTTTTCAGAACAATGCTTGTGTTGGTGGTATTGGGGTGAGAGTGGTTTTGAAGCTGTAAGGCCATCTCCAACCTTTTGTTTTGTTTTTTATTTTGTGTTAATACTAGCTATAGTATGAATTATAAGATGATAAAAATTTCTCACACACGCAAATTATCACGGTGTCATACCCTGCGTTCGTTGGTATGTAAGTCAATGCTCGTTTTCACTGGTTAGACCCTATTGGCAGACCATTTCCAACCTAAAAGGTCTCAAAATGAACTCAAATACAATTATTCATCAATCCAAACCTAAATGGCCGTTAGATGAGTTTAATTTTTGAAATTTGTATAGCATGTAGATTGAATCACACTCATGCAATGACAATTAGCATGGTGATAATGCTCACCAACATTTAAGAGTGGTGAGCAAAAATGTTCTTGACTTGATATATTGCTAAAATATGAAAACCTATGAGAGAATTTTGTTTGTGGGAATTTTCTGTGTATTCTTCTTCTTGTAGGAGGTCATATTTATAATACAATAAATCCTAGTAGGTCGAGAAAAGTAATAACTCCTAATTCTATATATAGTAGGAAATCATGAATTAAAGTAAATCAATTACATTTGACATAGGAATCTTGGTGTGTAAGGAAAGTAAATGCGAGTACACAAGTCATGCCAACACTCCCCGTCAAGTTGGTGCACAAATGTCACCAATACCCAATTGGTCCAATGAATTGTGGAACGCTCTACTAGAAATTGCCCTTGTCAAAATATTCGCTAATTGATCCTCAGAATTTACTAAAGAAAACTGAATCACTTTAGCTTCAAGCTTCTATTTGATATAGTGTCAATCTACCTCAATATGTTTGGTGCTGTCATGTTGAACCGGATTATGTACAATAGCTATTGCAACCTTGTTGTCACAAAAGATATTCATTACAGATGTAGGTCCATACCCAAGTTTAGTAAGCAACCTCTTTAACCAAATGAGTTCCCAAATTCCTTTGGTCATACGCTGAACTCGGCTTTTGCATTGAATAAGGTAACCACCTTATGTTTCTTGCTCGTCCATGTAACCAAATTACCTCCCACGAATGTGAAATAACCGGATGTAGATTTCCTATCTGTTATATTTCCTGCTCAATATGCATTTGTGTAACCATCAATATTAAGATGACCATGTTTTGAGAACATAAGTCCTTTTTCAGGTGCAGACTTTAAATATTTAGGTATTCGGATAATTGCATTCATGTGGTCTTCACTTGGAGAATGCATAAAATGATTAACCACACTCACTGCATAAGCAATGTTTGGTTGAGTTTGTGACAAATAGTTCAATCTTCCCACTAACCTTCGGTATATTTTCTTGTTAGTTGGAACCTCCAAGATGATGATTCTGAACAATAGGAGTGTTTACAGGTTTGCAATCTAGCATTCCTGTGTCTATCAACAAGTCCAAGACATATTTCCTTTGAGATAGAAATATGACTTACTTTGATCGGGCCACCTAAATCCCCAAGAAATACTTGAGTCCACCTAGATTCTTCATTTCAAATTCAATAGCTAAATAGTATTGCAGCCGAGATATTTCATGTTCATCATTCCCAGTAATAATCATCTCATCAAAATAAATTATTAAACCTATTACCTTTCCTTTATGATGTTTCAAGAACAGAGTATGATCTGAATTGCTTTGCTTGAATCCATAATTCCTCATTGCCAAAGTGAATCGTCTGAACACGTGGTGACTATTTCAAACCATATAGTGTTTTTTCGCAACTTGCACACTATACTAGTCTAAGTAGATGTTGTATATCCCGGTGAAACGTCCATGTAAACTTCTTTTGTGAGTTCACTATGCAAGAAAGCGTTTTTGACATCAAACTGATGGAGTGGCCAATCCAAGTTAGTTGCAAGAGATAGTAGCGCTCTGACTATGTTAAGCTACAGGGGCAAAGGTTTCTTCATAATCGATGTTGTAGTTCTGTGTGTACCATTTTGCCACAAATCTGGCCTTGTATTGTTCAATGGACCCATTAGTATTGTGTTTGACAGTAAACACCCATATGCATCCAACTGTTCTTTTTCTTGGGGGTAATATCTCCAGTGTCCATGTCTGATTTTTCTCCGGAGCCTTCATTTTTCCTTCGTTGCTTGGGTCCACTTTGAATCTTTCAATGCTTTAGTCACCTTAGTGGAATGGCAATAGCAGATAACTGATGCATAAATGCCTTCAATGGTTCAGGAAGTCTTTGAGTGGACACATGATTGGCAATTGGGTACTTTGACATCTTCCCAATATCAGGAGAATACCGGTTTGGTGGTCTTCCACGTTCTGCCTAAAAGGTAATTGGTATCCAATAGAATCATTAACTAAATTCATAGGAGTTGTAGGGATATTTACCTCAGGGATATTCTCAGGAGATTTGTTGTTTGATACTGTTGAATGAGAATGGAGTCTTCAGTGTGTTCAGGTTCATCTTCTTTCTCAAGATCGCTGCTTTGATACCATGCTAAAATATGAAAACTTATGAGAGAATATTGTTTGTGGGAATTTTTATATATTCTTTTCCTTGTAGAAAATCATATTTATGATACAATAAATCTTATAGGTCAAGGAAAGTAATAACTCATAATTGTATTTTATAATAAAAAATAATGAATTAAAGTAAATAAATTACATTTAATATAGAAATCCTTGGTATGTAAAGAAAGTATATCCAGGTCACAAAGTGCCAACATATACCTCCTAGGCTAAGTGGCAAAACCAAACTTGTGAGAATGTTCATTGTCAAAATTGAATTATTGAAGGCCTTCTCTAGAGCATTAATGGTAGGAATATCCACTTGGGATCAAGTTAGGGTGTGGAGAAAAAAGCCAACAGAAGTAGAACCATGGTGGTCCTTCCTTCTTTTGCAAACTTATCTATGGACCCCGCAATCGTTTTTTGTATTGTTCCCTCAGGCTTTTACACTGGGTGCAAGCCCATACCTCATGGACTCTTCTTCACTGTTCATTTTGTCTCTCCCTCCTTCGTCCATTATCCTTTTACACTATTTTCCCTCTTATGAGATTTTTTTATTTATAAAATAAAAATAAAAATTTATAAATCCGCTCAAGGAAAAAAGTGACCCCATATGTAGTAGAAGTTTAGTTACCTTTCAAAAGGGAAATGTGTTAGTATCGGTTACAAATTTAAAAAACTTGGTGTATAGTCGCTATTTGTATTCACAGCTGGTAATATCGACAATGCATCGATCGATCACGCTCCTACTAGCCATCATGTTAAAAAAAAAATAAAAGTATAAAAAAAAAAAAGTCTAAAGATAAAAGATAGTAAATGCATCATGCTGCAAGTATGTGTATGTATAGATGTTAATGAATATTAGTATATAGATGTTAATGAATATTATGTATCAGGTGAAGCAGCAGAGTTCAGATACCTAACTTTTACTATCCAAGTTCTCAAACTATACTTTATATCCAAAAGCTCTCATAAATTTATAATGCTATAGATTCAGGACCACACCACCTAATAAAGGTACTTGCAAAAAAATGGCCCTTTGACTGACTTGTAAATAAAGGAGAGCGTGTGGCTGAGTTGCATCCCTCACATGCATGCAATGCAGAGCCACCAAGAGAGAGAGAGAGAGTAGAGTAGGGGCTGTGTGGGCCCCAGTTTCCTGACAAAGTTGATCTTGATACACCACCAACAGAAAATGGAAGTTAATCTCCTCCCCATTTATCTATAAGAAAAAGGAGACAAAGAAAGTTTCATTGCACCTCAAAAATGAACTGAGTTGGAAGAAAACGTAACAAATTTGGTTTTGGTTTTAACACAACCTTTCTCACTCTACTTAATTTACTCCAATGTATTTCAACTCTCCTCTCTCTCTCTCTCTCTCTCTCTCTCTCTCTCTCTGCAAGTGGCAAAGGTATGTGTTTGCTTGCCCCACGTAAGACTCTTCAACTGAATTCCATAGCTTATTGCATCCACTTTCTCTTTCTGGGCGTCTTCAGGTATGGCTTTTTTGGGCAGACACACACGCGCACACACACACACACACACATATATATATATATATATGTGTGCACCTTTCACTTTAGTTGAAATAAGCTTTGGGTTTTTGATAATGCAAGTTTCTGAGATTTTCTTCTTCCAATTTTCCTCCAATTCACTTTAAATTTGTCACTGACAAGTTGCATAATCCTGTTTCTTGTATCATGCTCATTATATATAGTTCTCTATTTAAAGCTAAAACACTCTTCCAGTTGGGTTTTCTAACTTTTCTTTTCCTCTTTCCAGGTATGGAAAGAATGTGTGATGCCCCCTGTATCTGAGGCAGTTGTCTTCTAGAATCTAAGAAGAGAAAGAGTAAAAGAGTTTTGAGCTTTAATTTATAATGCCAGTTCCACTTGCCCCATATCCAACTCCTCCAGCACCATACACAACACCGGCAAATGGTATCATTACTCAAAATCTGTCTTCGTCTTATTTGGCTTGAAAACAATGTGAATTTTCTCTCTATTTTTCCTGCTGAGAAAATTGCTGAGAAAATGAGGGATTGGTTGAGACTTCTTGTCATTGTCCAACACTGATGTCACAAATGTCACAGGATTTTAGTTTTAATTTTCTTTTCCTCCCTTCTCCTCTGTTTCTTCTTCTTCTTTTTTGCTCCTCTAAACACAATAAAGTTCTCTTACAAAATTACTCTCTGATTATGATTGTATGAAAAATATAATCTGCTACCTTATTGTTATGAAATTATTCATTTATATTCTACCAATCTAAATCAATAATTTATTAAATTTTGTAACTTGTTCTTTAGGTGCACAGAGCCAACTTGTGTGCTCTGGATGTAGGAACCTTTTACTCTATCCTGTTGGAGCCACCTCTGTCTGTTGTGCGGTTTGTAATGCAGTCACTGCTGTGCCACCTCCTGGTATGTTCTTTTCTTGCTACACATTCCCTTAGCTTATGTTAATACAGCTTGATTATGCTGTCATTTAGTTCTTGAAATCGATATAATTTTCGACTGTAAGACTCGGTAAAGTCTGAATGTGTTACATTTTTGTGTAACTTTGAGCAGGCACAGAAATGGCACAGCTGGTTTGTGGAGGATGCCACACCCTACTCATGTATATCCGCGGAGCAACGAGTGTACAATGTTCTTGCTGCCACACTGTAAATCTAGCCTTGGAAGGTATCAAATCATTGACAGATAAAAAGCTCTATGATATGTGTTTCTGTGACTGCAATTAAGCTTCTTATAAGGTAACCGAAATCAATTAAGTCTGGACATAAGAATCAAATGTGCATTTGTGACAGCAAATCAGGTGGCGCATGTCAATTGTGGGAACTGCAGGATGCTGTTAATGTATCAATATGGAGCAAGATCTGTGAAATGTGCGGTTTGCAATTTTGTCACATCAGTTGGGGTGAGCACATTATTCATTTTAACTCAGTGGATGTTAGCTGAAGTCATGAGTTTCTGTTGTGTTGCTTTATACATCAATTGAAGTGTGTTCAAAATGAGATAAAAGTAATTTGGACAGAAGTTCAGGGCTTCTGTTGCAACACCAATTATTTCACCTTTTTTTCGATTAAACGCCTTCTGATACCATAAAAATTGCGTCATCGTTTCGATCCTAGCTCACTTCTGAATTTATACAAACTACTGCTTAGTGCATTACATTGATAGAAAGTTTAGAGACTTTTGGCATTCCTCTCTGGTTAATGTGATGTTCATTGGCATTTTCAGGTGTTGACGAGCACTCCCGAACAGAAATTCAACAACTAAAAATTATCATACACCACATAAAGCTGGCTATTACAATGCTACAACCTTGGTTTTGCATCTCATAGTAGTTTTCCTCCAAGATTGCATCTCCCAGTGGGAACGGAACGTCCTGCTTCTCACATGTATAGAGTTATTTTTTTCTTTTCTTTCTTGCGTGATCCTTGTATGAATAAGTAGTTATGTCAAGATTGGATGTATGAGAATATTCTACAAGAGAAGAGAGACTACTAAAATTTGAGTGAATTTGGAAGTCTTTGGATAAGATTTACTTCATTTTCCTTAGCTTTGACATGATAAACTTTTATCTCAAACTCCCTTCTGGTTTTGAATTGTCAATTCTCATCTAGAAATATAATTGCTTGCCAGTCAATGAAGATGCCCAAAAATTTGATCCAAGAAAGTTCCACTTGGGACCAATAGAGATATTTCAAGAGTAAATTTGAGGTGAGCATTCATCAATTTAGGTATGGCTTTTAATGTACGATTTTGACTTCCGAGTTCCCACAATAAGGTTTGTTAATTGACCAATCTATTAAATAGGACACGAGTGCTTGTTGAATCAGTTTTGGATAAACTTATGCTACAAAACAATGTGATTTTTCATTTATAATTTTTTATACCAGCGATAGTTTAAAGTTCTTGAAATTAATCTAATCTACAAAAAGGGTGACTAGAACTTGAGTGCAAAGGGCCTAACTCACCGCCTGAACAATTGACCTAACCCACATTTACACAATGTATTCAATAATGGTTAACCTGAATGCGACTTCGCATTTAATGCAAACACAATCCAATGGCTGTAAAAAATCAAATCAGTACAACGTAGGTTGGACTAATCTAATACATGTAGGGTTTGGTGAGCCCCCACTGTCCTTGTGTTTGGCTTGACTTTAGTACTTGAATTATGTGAGTATTGTGTCTGGAAATAATCCGAAAATCTGAGTTTGAGCTCGTGAGATCCTGCAAGCGAACATATGGTGGGGAAGCTCAAGGCGTTACAAAATTCAATTACATATTATGACCAGCTTCTCTGCTGTACCCCACTGCTGCGCTTTTCCCCTTCACGTCCTGCTCATTTGATGCAACTTTTTGTGTACTATTTATAAAGTAAGCACCAGTGAACCTTCTACTTCAATCACAATAATAATGCATGATTGCATTAGAGTATAGAAAGCTTTTTCCATTTCTATTTATAAAGTAAGCACCAGTGAACCTTCTACATCATCCGTCATTCTAAACTTTACATCATGAAAAACTTTGGATCCACTCATTACCAATTAATTTTGGATATAACATCTTCGAAGCCTAATTGTAACGTGGTATTTTCAAGGGAGACTTTGGAAAAACACAAAGGAGAGAGAAATTTTGTAAAACAAGCCAAAATAGACAAAATTGCCCTTATTTATTTTTGGATTTCCTAAGGAATCCTTTACATTTGCATGTCTTTGATTTGAAAGTTGAGAGGTTTTTCTATCTTTTTTGAAAAAGCTTTGGCTTTTTCCAAAAGTGAAAAAAAAAATTTGGCTAAAACCTAAATTTACTTATTTTCAATGTCAAATAAAATCGGTGCATTAGGCTCTAATGATGGAGAGAGATCTGCGTAAGGCGAAGAATGAGTCTATAGTTGCTGACTCAAATCCTAACAGCTTAAGTTTTTTTAGAATAGTAGTGAACATTCGAAATTTATCTTAACATTGATTTTGTATTGAATGCTCAAACTTAAAGATGTTAGTTGAAATTGACCACACTTAAAAAGGCACGATAAGAACATGATAAATCCTACATCGAACGTTTTGTATTTCATCTTAAAGTGAGAATCTTGGAACCTCTCCAATAAACCTTTGTGAAGAATGTTCAAACTTCAAAAAATTGCATCCCACGTAGTTGTAAAAAGGTCCAAAATTTAACCCTAATTGATTTTGTTTTTCAAGCATTGGTTCTAAAATATCTTTCTGAACTCTTCCCTCCTTTATGTGTGTCGGTGTCACATGTGAAAGACAAGGAAGGCCACTTTTAACCATTGTTAATGACATTAACTGCAGCTGTCAATTTATGTTGGTTGTTTTGCTTTTATCCTGTCTATTCAAAATAAAAGTTTTTATTTGATTTTTTTTTTTTTTTTGTTTGTGGAATTTGGAACATTGGTAAGCAAGGAATTATATAGTTACCGTGCTTAAGAAACCCCAAATCAAATTTGGAAGTTAATCTTTGTGTGGATAAGCTCTTAGAGACTTGTAGCGGACACAATTTCAGCCATTGCTTCTATTCCAAAACGCTAAAATTTGATTCCTTATGCTTTTATCCCAAGTCATTTTCAGAAGTGCTTTTCAAAAACGTACAACCAAAGTGGCTCATTCCATGTGTATGCTGACTGCTTTGTTGATATCATATACCATCAATCGACAACAAGATATCAGATGGACTAAAAGCATAGTAATCAATTGGTCCCTGGACCCAATTGTGTACCTGCACTCATGGTTCATTATGAATGTGTCCACCGTCTATATCACTGGCCGGCTAATTCTAGGCTCGCTAAAAGCATGCATTGTACCCAGAAAAACAATAATACTGCAAATGCATGAAAGGGTCAGGAATCGCTAAGTAAGTAATTATAGTGCAATGCATGCCATGGATGGTAAGAATAACAATGTGCAATTTAATTCTGAATGGTAAAAAAGATGGGAGAATCAAACACATGAAAGGGATATGTAGCAAAGCTAACCTTGATTAAATTGTCTGACTTTAGTCCCCCTCACCCTCACATGAGTGATAATGATATTTTGAGTAGTGCCAAAATGATCTGATGGAGGCATTTATCCTATATGGCATTATGGAAGATAACAAAAACTAGTATAGGATTAGTTCAATGTTCCTAATAAAACAACAATGCTAGAGTCGGTCGCTCATGTAGACGTGTTCGAATTTTGATATATCAACGGTCATGAATCATTCAGTAATTGTAATATAATGCATGTATGGAATATAATAACAATGTACCGCAATTGCAATTCAATTACACATGGTACTTAAATAAATAAAAGAGAGAATCAAACACGTAAGTGATAATGATATTTTAAAGAGATTTTCTATTTAAACCCCCCTCACTTCTCTTTGTTTACTCAAATACTTAAATCATTAAGCTGTAAGTTTTATTATTGTGTAAAAAGACAAAAAATGTCATCCAACTTAATACTTAACCATAGTACATCTATATACACACTCCACCACTCTTAATAAGGAGCAATTTCATACACCAAAAACAAACAATTAGAGAAAACAGATATCAGAAACTCACAGTAGAAAGTATACACTTGATATCCTTGAGATCTGATACATTGAAGCACCGTGTGCTGCTAGACAATTAGGCTCCACAACTATAAAAGATTGTTTTCAAGGCTTGAAGAGAAAGATCAGTCGTGGCTTGTCCCCTTCTATCCTTAAACTGATGCCTAGCACATACTTTTGCTTCAAACTTTCACCCCAAACAAAATCTCATGTATACTACAAATATTGTTAAATGATTTAAGTATTGGAGTGAACAAAGAAAATTGTGGAGTTTAAATAGAAAATCTCTTTTATTTCTCATTTTTTTCAGCTTGGGGTGTATTTAAGGGTAGTTTGAGAAGATAGTGGGGTTTTCTTAGAAATTGTGAAAATTTAAATTAAAAGTTGGGGTGAACTAAGAGAAGTGTGGGATTGTGCCAAAATGATCTGATGGAGGCATTTATATGGCTTTGTGGAAGATACAAAAATTGGTATATGATTAGTTAATGTTTGCATTTAAGCCAGCAAACAAAAGTAATAAAGAAAGAAATGAAGGACCGTTGTACTAATGCAGAAACATGAACATGAAATTAACATCATCACCAAACGTCAACTCACAATGGAGAATGACAATAACACACTGTTGGAGCCGTATTTTGATACCTCAATAATTTGTAGTCCTTATGAAGAAATTTGAAAAATCCAAGATCACAGAATCTTAACACAGCCAACCTTGGGTTTTCTTTTGGAATTGAAACACTGATTACTTTTCGATGGTTAGGTAAAAGGAGGTCGAAGGGGGACTGGAGATTCGAACTCTAGCCCTAGCTGTGGGGATGATGCTCACCACCACCTGGCACCAGTGCAAATGAAAAAAGAAGTCTAGTAACTCATAACAAAATTGAAACGAACTGTGAAATTAAAATTCAAGGGCAATGAAAAGAATAGAAAGAAAAAAGAAGGAATGCTTTTGTTACACTGAAAAAAGGTTCATAAAAACTTGAAACTTTCAGTCGGCCATGGGAAAAATCTTACCAACCCCTCTTAACTAACCGAATGACTCTTCTACTCAAAACCAACCCCTATCATCCCCTTTTCCAATTAGGTTTCGATCGAACTACCTTCTCGTTTCACCAAAAACCACATCTGTACTGAGAATTCAACTCACTCTTCTCCCTTCCTGCTTCTCAAATTGTCACCTCACTTCCAGTACATACCTAGCACCACAATCAAATTCCATCAACACCCTCACGCAGCCATGCTTGATCAAAGCATCACATGCACTAGTACCAACAGTCAAGTTCTAGTTTAATAAGCTACTCAATCTACATGAATATTAGCCGTGCAACAGAAAATTAATGATAACTCAGAGTAACACTTCAAGAAATGTATCGGGAGATCAAAGGCAAGGTAGAATTCACAAGTTATCACCGATTTAAGATGCCTGCCACAACATCATGCCGCTTTCTTCGGCTAGATCTTTTCTTCACCAATTTTCCTGAGGGTTTAACAATCCCTCCAAATCTTCTGGAATCTGTAAAATTTCATCCCAGCCAATATAATGTATTCTACCCTGTTAGTAACAAGTACCAAACAACAGAGAAAAAATACACAGCAAATGGGCCCACCTGAATCTTTTCACATCAATTCATTGCTGATCAGTAAACTAGCGCCATGATATTTCAATTTTCTCCATGCTATGTCATTGTAGATAGACATGTTGGACAAGTTATCCATGCCATTCTTTTAATCAGAAAAGTAGTTTGTATTGCATATGAGTCGATTACATATTGAGGTCATCTGGGAGGGTTGAAATAACATTATCCAGGCTTCTCTACAATCATACTTAGCTTAGGATATACACTCAGTGGAGAGAAAGGAGCATAAAAGTCTAGACTGTCACGGGAGTGAAGATGGAAACGCACAGTACTCGGAAGGGTAAAATATACAGTCTGCAAATTTTACTCGGCAAATCCTAGGTCCAAAATCAATACCCTACATTTCTTATTCATCGCCCATTGCTAACTCCAACGCATAATCATCTCTTTCCTGCAGCATGAATACAATGCAGAGTTAAGATACCATAAAAGGACTAGTTCCTTGGCAACAATAACTTAATAATTCTTCTTTCATTCCCCCCATGATATCTTTTTCTCTTGGTTTGAGTTCCCACATGATATCATTCCTACATTTTTTTGGATTAGATTTTTCTAGACTTTTAGAGGATTAAGAACTTACAATTGGTCCCCGTGCAAAATATCTCCCAAATTGAAGCCAATACACCTGCATGTGCCAAGAATTTCAAAGTTCTATAAATCAGATGATTGGAAAGGCAATTAAAGGAAGCTGCAAAATGCCATCATATACCAAATAATTCCACAAAAGAAAATTGAAGAGTAATTGCATCAATTAAAGGTACAAGAAATTCTATATCTAAAGCTATTTGGAGGACACAAATGACTCAACAGCATTAGAGGCCCATAGCATTTCCTGAAAGTTAATGGTAGATCTCAGAGCATTACCTCATCCTCATCCTGTGTTTCTACTTCAAGATCAGACGATGGATAGCCCACACAAAGAAGTGCATACCCCTGCATTCAGACAGAATATAATAACTCAGGCATTTCTCAAACACAACTTCTCAGTACAAATCTCCAAGTTTCCCCATTGTCTGGAAATATCATCAGGTTGTGGCTACCCGGAGTCATTTTAATACGATTTTGGTACGGGAAAGATGCATCGACACCTTCCAATCATAAAGGAAAAACTCGTGTATCCCCAATTGTGTGTGTAGTGTGGCTAGGCGCACACAAGCACCCCTCCAGATAAAGGGGCTAGTACCCTAAACCAAAAAATTTCCATTATGAAACAATAAGGAATGTCATTTTTGCGATATTTTTCAGGTACATTAACTTACACAGACACTAAAACAGTAGTAATCCTGAAATTCTCTTAAATTTTTATTTTTATTTTTTATACTATGATTTCTTCACTGAAACAAACCCAGGCTTAAATAAACTCGAAAACTATTGTTGGCTACCAAACCAACACCAACCCCATCAACACTTCCCTCACCACTTCATGAATAAATCTTTGTCTGAGAAAAGATTAGCTGAATACAGTGTGCAAAGCCAGAACACTTTGTGCATGCTAATTAATTTCATAAAAAGCCTCAAAACACATGCCTTTGATTTCAATTCAGCAGAGATCCCTAGCGCCTCAGGCTGTCTAAGTTGTCCAGATTTCACACGTACAGCACAGCTAGTACAACAACCTGCCAAGTAAAACCAATTTGGACCCTATCATTGAATGAATTCAGAAGAAAAAACCCACCTCACATTATAATCCATAGAACAAATTGGAAAAAAAAAAACCACCATGCATTATTGTCTATTGAATAATTCACAACACATTATTGCTCAAAAATGATAAAAGCGAACAATACCGTGCCTGCAAGCGAATGGAAGAGTGATGTCCTGTGACTCAGCAGTGTGCAATATGTACTGGTCCTGAAATTTCAATACCCATTAATTTTCTTGGGAAAATGGATAGAATTTCTATGTGATTTTCTCAGCAAACAAACAAAGAAACAGAGGGTTAGGACCTGGACAGTTACCTCTGGGACAAGGAACTGGTGGACGACACCTCGTTGCCTGTCGTGAACGGTGATTTTGTGAGTGGGAATTGAAGGAGAGTAGCTACCGGCTCGGTCGGTGACCCCCACCGGCGTTTGGAGCTCCGACGTCGTTTTGATGCGCCATTTGGTTACATTGGAGCGGCGAGCGAAGCTCTTTGGGCAAGTGGTTTGCCGGTTGAGTGTGGGTTTCTGGTAGATAGAAGTGCAGGGATTGCAGGGAATGGCGTAGTCCATCGGATTATCTCCTTGTAATTCTGGTTGCCGGGTACGCCATGCGCAGTGAAGAGGATAATGAAAATGGGTAGGTATTCACTGCACTCGTTAGTACAGAGTAACCGTGCAGACGAACCACCAATCGTTGGATTATTCATAGGCTTTAATTTTATTTTATTTTTGGTGAAATAGGCTTTAATTTTTTGGGTTACTACATAAAACACCCAGAACTATTAATCATTTTTTCAAGTTAAATAATGTTTGAACTTGGAAAAACCTATATACACTATATATGCTCAATTGAGAGGATGAATGGTCTCAAGTTATTTGTGTTGAGACACGAAAATAAGTGTATGGGTGTTCACTAAGGAGTGAATACACTGAGCGATTAACCAGGGATCTTGTATGAAAGTTTTACCTACATGTCAAACAAGATCTCGATAGTTACAATAATGTAAATTAGTTATCGACTTGAGTCACCAACTTGTTCTTCCCTTTGATCTTAACCATTTTTCATTAAAAAATATAAATTGCATATTTTTAAAAATCAGATGCATACCTAGTTCTAGTTTTTGAAATATTTTCTTATATGCTCTTAAGCAATCAAAAATTTCTTCATTACTTTCAGCTGTTGTTGAAAGCTTGAGAGTATGAGTATGATAGCTGTTGGGGTCTTTTTTCATTAAAAGGCTTATCTGGGCTTGTTGATTCTTGAACTGCCATAGAGTGGTGAATCAAGCCTTCATTGCCCCTTTTTCCGAGTTAGCAAGAATTAGGCCCAAAACGTCCTGAATGAGAAGGAAGTCTTAGGGGAGTACTTTGTTGTTCTTCCAGCAGCTGCGTGTTTTATGTTGATGTTTTCAGCAACTCTGAAAATAGTTGGAGATGGTGCATTGATGTTGTATAGGCTTTTTGTGTGGTTTTGGCAGCCAGACGATGAACTTGTGATGTCTGCGTTTTCTTACCAAAAAGGTGATGACTATGGCTTCAACTTAGCTTAAGAGGATGGGTGTTTTAGATCTGGGATTGTATCTTAGTTTGTGCATGTTCGACTTGATCGCCGACTCCATTCAAGAAGCTTGCTTGCTGAACGATGAAGTTTGCAAGCCTTTCGATGACAAAGTGTTTCCCTCTTTTTGGCCGAGGAGGCCGACAAAAGGAACTTTTGGTCCTTCTTCTTTTTTGAGTGCAAGACGTGCCACCACTAAGCCACGAATTTGGCTTGAATAGAATGTGAGTGTATGTTGTGTCCGAGATCTGACTTTAATCAAGCGATTGTTAGGTCAAGCAAGGAACCTCCTCACGACCTAGGTTCTTTCACTCCCTTGGAGTCAAGGCTTTATGTGAGGAACCAAATGATGTGGAGTGGGTGAAGATGAGCGTTAGAGCAGTGATAAGGAACTCCTATGGTTGTCTCTGCAGCGTGGTGGCAGTGCGTGCTCCTAGCCAAATATCGATACTGGCTACTAAATTTTATGCTCTAAAAATTGGAATATCCTTTGCGGTGGATGCTTCCTTTTCTCCACTCCTAGTTGAGTATGATTCCTTGAGTGTTATCCAATTGCTTCTTAAAGAGGAGGCCTGCTACACAGCGGAATGAGTTCTTGTTGATGACGCCTGACAGCTCCTTGCTTCATCGTCGTCCCTCTTTATTCGTTTTGTTCCCCACACTACTAATGGAGTTGCAAATCGTCTCGTGCGTTTCAGTCTTTGTCAAGAGGATTTTATTCTTTTGGTTTACTGATCCACCACTTTGGTTACGAGATTGTCTATATGAAGACTCTTCTGTTAGTCGTGATGTTTGACTCTTTTGTAGTCTCTGGCATATGTGATATTCTTTCCTCCTCTAGGGTTTTGTCTCATCAAGTTTTCTCTATAGAGGTTTTAACGAGGCCGCCAAATACATGTTGTCCCAATTGTACTGATTTGATTATCTAATGATATATCCTCCTTTCTTAAAAAAAAAAATAATAATAATAATAAATTTATTATAATTAAAAATTAAAAATTAAAAAAAGAAAAAGAAAAAGAAAAAAGAAGGTAGCCCATTTGAAGATGCCCATATGTACTTTAAAAAGTTACTAAGGATATTTGTGCAAGCTCCAAACCTTTTGTTTCCAACGTGGCAGCATATGAAAGGAAGGACCTGCATGCTCACCACGTGTCGGTCATCTGAGCGTATCCCAGGATCATTGACAGTCCTTTCCTTTTGTTTTTCCGATGCATAAAATTCATTTGCCTTGTTGGAGAGTTCTGAGCTTCTTATCCACGTCAAACTCAAATCCTTGGTTTTTTTCTTCTTCTTCAGCTTTTCACTCCCTACGTACCAGTCCTTGTCTTCTTGGAAATCAAGATTCAATTGGCTGGCTTGTTAAAGTTTTAAGTTTCATAACAAACAACGGAAATTGCTTTTGTGGTTTCTTTGTGCAGGACAAATCAAGAGAGAAATGCAGTACGCAAAGGAGAAGTTGAGCAACATGGCCAGTTCAGCCAAGGAGCACCTAAATATTTACAAAGCCAAAGTAGAAGAAAAGGTACACTTTGCATGCATGTTTACTTTTAAAAACTGTGTTTTTGATTGTGGGATGAGATCAAAGAGCGATGAGGTTATATTTGTTTCAGTTAGAGGCAGTAGCGGCAAGGACGGAGGAGGAGAAAAAGATGGCCAAAGAGCGGAGGAAGGTCAAGGAAGCTAGAGCAAAGATGGAGCTGCATAAAGCCAAAGCGAGGCATGCGGAGAAGAAATTGAGCTCCAGGCAACCCCATGTTCATGGCGGCGGCTGCCACCACCACTACCAACCGCTTTCTGCTGGCACTCGCCATATGCATGGCCACCAGCATCTGGGAACTGCTGAGTATCCCATGGCTGGAAAACACTAATTTCCATCTACAAATGCACGTGTATATTGAAATAAAAAGTGCTGTTTTATAACAAGTGGTAGAGTTTCTTTCTGTAGTTTTATGCATCCCTACTGATTTTGTTGAATAATACTCTCTCGTACAATACAAAATCACTTCGGTTTATGTCTGAATATTCACTACCCACTAGCTGAAATCTTCCCGTACAGTAAAAGTATCATTACCGATGCGGTGCTTTTACTGGTTGATCGGTTGATCTCACCCGTAAAATGCACCCACTCAACCGGTAAAATGCACCCATCACTGGTAAAGCGCACCCACGCACATAATGGTGGAAATCACAAGGAACATGTTGAAAAACGTCAAGCAAGAATGTTTTAAAGAATGAGAATGATGAGCTGTGGAGGCAATCAAACAAGATATCGAATCTGATCAGAAAACGCAGGAAAACATAGAATTAGTGTTTCCACTACTGTGTAATTACCGAATTAACTGTTTAAATTCGACTCCTAGTTGTAAATCCACAAGCACAGTTCAAATCCTTGAAGGAACATATATTTAGACAACCCCTAGACCTTAAGTATTAATACAATGGGATCTAGTGTTCCACAGTTCTGATTCGCACAAGAGAAATCGGATGACACTCAAAAAGTTAAACTGACCACAAAAAGGATATCAAAAACCCAAAGACGTAAACCTAAATTCTTCTAGGTGTCTTCATATCCACTGTGATCTACCCCGGTATTCCACACGCTGTTGGATTTTCCCGTCCGGCGATAAGACCTGAGTCCTCACTTTAGCTGGCTTGGTACTGTATTTCACTTCAAACCTTGCCAATGCCTTATTATTTTCTGTACTAACTGAAATCTGTGGAAAAACCTCATCAAGAAACTCGTCTGCTACATCTCCATCCTCATCTATCCTGAGTCGCTTTGCACGCCATCTTAGACCCTGGATGCAGAACAAGTAGGAGATCAAAAAATTTTACCTGCTTTGCTCTAGCCATGGAGATAAATATGATCCAAAGTATGTGCTCGTACCGAAAACAACAACAACAAAACGCTAAAGTGTTATTGTTTCAAAGAGGGAGAACATTTTCGAACTTGGAAAACAGCAAACCATTATCTTCTCTTTAATTCTTTAATAGATGGAAAACCAAAATCCAACCAGCAACATACTATTAACAGGACAAGGCAGGAAGGCATAACACTCAACCAGTCGTTAGACGACACTTCATTTCAAAAGCAACTTGGCAACTGGATTATCTCCTAACTTCTCGTTCTGTATTACCTTTTCATCTCCCTGCTCTACAGCATAACAGACCCATCCAGATCAATAACATAAGGAATACTAAAGATTCAAATTACCACAGGATAAACTACACACCATGCAACCAACAAACTACAAAATTATGACACAAACAACCACCCACATAAAACATTCCAAAAGGCACTAACACCTGCAAAGTACATTTTCTTGAAGAAAAAACAGAATACGATCTCTGTGAATCTGGGATTATACATAAGGACTGAAGGGCTATTTGAGCATCAGGCATCTCATTCAACATAGTAAGTCTAAAGCATAAGAAAACAATAAAATTTAACCAATAAAAAAACATCGGTTTGTTTGATAAGAGAATTCATTACAAAAAGCTGAGGAAACCATGCTCACGACAGAACCAAGGACAGCAGGCTAGGGGAAGAAATTCTAATCCCTACATTTCAATATACAAATCAGGGAAGACTAATACCTCATACAACAATTTTAAAGGTTATGTCGCTGGTCTATGATAGTCAACTTCAAAATGGATACCTGACTTCAGATCTCCCACCCTAATGAGAAACAAGCAATTCTGCAAAGAGAAAAGGAAAGCTGACTAGACAGCTAAATATGCACTTTCTACTAAGGCCATCTCCAATTTGGATTTAAATTTCAGCTGTTGGATTTTATTTTATTTTATTTTTTTCCCGTTGATCGAGGCAAATTTTAATATCAGCCGCTGATTTCTAGCCTTTAGGTTTGAAAAAAAAATTTGAAAGCAGCCCATTTGAAATGCAGCCGTTGAAGTGCAAATTTTAAGTTGCCTAGGCTTTGACATGCGGCCAGCAACTTGGGGTAGTGGGTAACAGCCCATCATTTGCTCCGAATGAGGCCCCACGTGGCTCTTGTTTGCTGCGAATTGGGCCCCACAAACATTCCACCTGGAGTGGAATCTGGGGCCAAATACCGCCCCATATTTCAGTCAACCCAAATTTCCCCCCTTCCAAATACATGGGTTGGATAAGGTTTTGTGCTAAAAATTTCCAAATTTTGGGTTTTGCCTCCCATGGTTGGAGAAGGCCTAAGGGATACTGTGATCCTCAAAGGAAAGCTATAGGCAGAAACAAATTGTCCCAAGTACAAACAACCCAATAGGTAAAGGACATTTCTAGACTTATAAGAAGTACAGAAAGATAAAAGACCGTCTAGAGAGGGGTTGCACATTCCAAGAATCATCACCTGTATGCCTCTATCAAACACAGACTGCTTCTGAAAGAAGAATAGAACTATGGTGGCATAACTTAACACTTGACCATTCCAAAGGCAAACGAAGGGGAAACAATAGAAACAGTCCTAGGGACCAATGCCATTCGGAAAGGGTGGCCAGCCCTGCTTAGAACAGTCAAGTTCGACTGGGCTTACGCACATTTAGACACTTATGCAGTCCCCTTCAGCTGACTTCTTCTAATGTAAGCTCCAAGCACCAAGTCCTCACTGACGGAATATGCATGCTTAAGTAGGGTCAGGCAGCCATTGCTGCCTGATGGGAACTTCCCCCATATCGTGCTATTCACTTTCAATGTCTTCATGTTGCATGACCTCTTAACATTATACGGAAAATAATTCCAAATGGGTTCAATTGAGTCCTACAATGAACAAACTGGAAATGAAGATTAGATGCCCACTCACTCATCCTATGATCGAATCTTCAAGCTCCAAACTTTTGTTCCCAAATTTGAAATACCACCCACTAAACTCAAGTCCCTCAATTGCTATCCAATAACTGATATTCCAAATTCAGCTTACCTACAAGTCATGTGCCCATTCCATTACAATATTTCTCACATTTTACTAAGCAATCATAGTGGATGACAGTTAAGGCTAAATTCATAGATACCAAGCAATCGAACTCTACCAATTATTCATAAACAAAACCTACTAATGCATACTTCAACTTTTGGGCAAACGTTGTAGATTAATCTAATGCTGATCCAACAATTCAATTCATCAATGGAAATGAAGGTTTTGAGATAAATATATATATATATAGAGAGAGAGAGAGAGAGAGAGAGAGAGAGAGAGAGAGAGAGAGATAGATGATTTACCTGGACACCACCGTCGCCGGAACGACAAGGAACGAGAACGGGGCCGGGAAGATTCCGGTCAACGGCGACTTGAACCGGAACGCTGAAGCCTTTACGGGGAAGCCCAGTTTCTTGGAAATTGGCTCGGTTCTGGGCCTGGTTATCGTCTTCGTCCTCTTCCCCGTTGTCTTTGACTTCGTGGCCGTCGTCCTTCGTAAACCCTAGCATCCCCGCCATCTTCCTAAAAAACCCCATCTGCTGAACAATCGCAACTCCAAACGACGGCGTATTGGAGCCGGCAACGGTTGCAAAATGGGGTTAGCAGGTATTGAATTCTACAAGTGTGAAACCCTGAGAGAGAAGATCCCGTACAGTTGAGTGCCGGTTGATGGTTTGCTGATGCTCTATTAGTATTCTGTTGTGTATGCGCTGTTATTATAAATTTTTTTTTCTTTTTTTTTTAAATTTTTTTTTGCATGTGCATCAGTGCACACGACTCTCAATATCAATTTAAAATTCAAAAATGTGATTAAAGAAGAAAATTGAAACTCGAAATCGCCTTTCTGAATTCTTCTTCGATTGGAGGGGTAATTACATTTTTGGTCGTTAGGAGTTAAGGTTGAATTTAATTTTGGTCATCAAACTTTTAATTTTTTAATTTTGATCATCAAATTTTAAGTCGTCAGCAAATTAAGTCTAATTAGGAGTTAGGTTGATTTTAATTTTGGCCACCAAACTTTTCATTTTTTAATTTTGATTATCAGACTTTAAATCGTCAGCAAATCAAGTCCAATTCAGTTAATAACAACGTGATGTGTAAGTGCATGGGCAGTATTGCCATTTCGTCCCAGCTCTCTCTCCCTCCTCTCTGCAAAACATACGAGCTCTCTCTCTCCAACTTCTCCACCCATCCAAACCGCAAAAACTCTTTTGCCATTTCGCCCTTCCATGCATCTTACCTTTTTCTCTCCTCTCTCTCTCCTCTCTCCCTCTGCCTCTGCCCTTTTTGTCTCTTCCCCCTCACTATTCCCTTTCTGTCTCTTCCCCCCTCTCTCTTCGATTTGAATTCCGACAAACCCAAGCCACCATTCTTATCAACGAGCTGCCGAGAGGTTGAAAGAGAGTATAATTACCGGAATAAATCCTGAATTTATTTGCTCGAAAATTGAAATGCGAGTTCTGAAATCAAATTAAACCACTTGGGTCTTGCACTGTCAGCAAGAATTCCCGTTCTAATTTCGAGTTGAACATTGGCGTTATGGGTTTTTGTGTTATGCTGTTATGGGTTGCTAGTGGTTCATTGGGATTTTGGTTTTGATTTTGTTTGTGTAATGGGATTTCATGTTTAAGGCCATGGTTGGATTTGGTTAGGGTTTTATTTTTTGGGTACAATAATCAGGGGTACAAGTATAATTTATTTGTAGTTTGATGTCAAATATAACTAACTCATCCAAACCATCACAAATTCCACTTACAATCTCTTCATCTCAACAAATAAAAGCAGTGCCAAACCGCAACAAATGATTGATCATAAAAAGGAAACTAGAAAAATAAAATAAAAAATTGAAGGCTCAATTTACCAGTTCTAGAGTAAGCTAGCATTTACAACAGGATACAAGACCACAAACAATCATATTGACACAAATTATAACATGAGCAATTAAAATCCCTATGATTTATGCTTGTCAAAACAAACTCCTGAATAATTCCCACTCAACTCAATTGTATAAAATTCCAGCATCCACCCTAAAATCCTCTCAAGTCTTCACAACAGCAATCCCGTGTCTCTAGCACCTAATCTCGTATGAACCGGCTTTGGTGATATAGCGGACCCACTCAACAGTGTTGTATCCACTCTTTTCCCATACCTGCAGAAAATCGATGAATAAATGCAACACTTTTTACAGAATGCATACTAGTGTTGACAGGGCAAAGCCAGTACCTTGAGAAAACGAACACGTAAACCAGATGCTGTGAACATTGGAACCTGTATACACAATAACTCAATGAATCACCTTCTTTAAAGAGGTGGACGGGGAGAAGAAACAATATCAAATGCCATAAAGACATACATGAAAACAGAAATTTTAAACAATAGGTCGGGAAACTGTTCATCTATCAGGTAATCCTAGGTCTGCCATTGATAATAGGCAATATACTAGAGACTTCTTGTGCAAAAAACATGAACACGCAAGCACCTTTTCACGCATGAGAACAGTATCGGGTAACATAGGGATCAAAATTTTAGACGGTGAAGAAAACAGCATGTATAATTTCCATATGTGCTTCAGAAGATAAAGAAGTAGAGCAAAAATTAAAACCTAAAAACTAAAAAGTATAGTTTTGAAATGCATAAACCTAGCTGCTGATTGTTTGGGTTTTGGTCACATTTTTACTTTTTAATTTTTTCTCTACTTGTATCCACCTACGAAAGTGGAGATGAGCTGCTGGGATTAACAAATAGATGAAACAATTGTCATAAGAATACTGGAGTTAGCAGCAATGATTAGTTAGGCACCTGGAACTCCATCTGAATTGGTGGTCTTGTCCAAGATTTCTTTTCTGTCATCGTCGAAATCAGCTCAACTTCTGCGCTCAAGGTTGGCTCAGTTTGTCCTGGAAATTTTCTTATCCTACAAAGTCACAAGAAAGTTGAATACAGTGAAAATAATGCACACACATTTCAGGCAGTCAAAAAGGCTCCTATAAGTTTCATATATGCCAGACAGATTTTCACACTTTGAACCTAGAATGGTACCTACCCGAACCCCAAATCTAATCCCACCTTTTTACCACCTAAGGCAGCGATCAGGTGCTACTGAATTAAAACAATATTGCAGATTTTTCAACAGAAAATTAATATTGCAAATCTTAACAAATTAAATAGTCCATAGAATTAAAACTCAATAAATAAACATACTACAAATACTCACTTCCAAACCAAACAATCAATAGCAGCATTGTATTTTGCTCGACCCGAAGTCACTTGAAAATTTGTCTTTGCTGTTTGTTTTGGCACAGGAATTTTGATGACAACCCCAAGAGCAAACATTTTTGCACCAAATACACTCTTTACCTGAAGAGAAGTAGTGCATATAATTTATTTTCCAAGCAACAAACATCCAAAAATAGCAACCTTTAACATGAAAAGTGGCAAACCTTAACATTTACTTCAATGCGAGTTCTACCAAGTTCCTTAATTGTAGGCAATACTCGGAAGGGAAGGTTCACGCCCTCAGTAATACGGTACCTATTGCACATATAACCAATCACAGAAGCAGGCCTTATGAATACAATTAAATGTATACAACACTGCTATGCAACTACAACAATTTATCTGGCATTAAAAGAAACTCTACCTATCATTAATATTTATAACAGTAATATCAGGCTGTAAATAATACTAGTAGTTTCGCATGCATTCCGCATGTATAAGATTGCTAACTGCAGAGAAGGTACTAGTAAAGAGTACCAAAAATTGAGCTATTTAGGACTTCTGTTGGTTTATAACTTTAACACCCAATAAAATTCTTCTGTCAAAAGAACAAAAGATGACTGAGTGAAGTTAGGAAGCATGAGTCACAAACCACCTCCCCTTAATATGAAAGCATACAAGATATAAACCAGAACGTTAGATGATACAAAGTAGCGGCACAATTGAAACTCCTTGCAATCACAGTCAAGGTTATATGGCAAGCTCATATTAAAATCAAGTTCCCTCGAGTTGTGACATCCATTTAAGGGACTATTTAATTTGTCATAATGCACAACGTAAAAACAACATTATAGTGAAGTGAGCAGGTCTGAGCACCCTAAGAAAACAGTTAAATTCACACCATAAAGGACAACATTAAAGGAAGTAAGGACTTACTTCATTAATTCAAATTCACCATCAGGTGGCACAAAACTAACCGTCTTCTCTGAGTTGAACCTTGTCAAGTTTACACATTGATGGAAAGTAACATCGTCGAGCTCGATGGTTTTACCGCTGCATAATAACCAAGTTTAAAATAGAAAATAAAAAGAAATAATATCATGTACTGTCAAAAACTGACATCACTCATTAAGAGTTATTTGCAATATCTTGATGAAGGCAAGATGCAATGCTCGAAATACAGAACAGATCAACTATAAAGGCACAAAAAAAGGACACTGCAAAGACAGATTTGAAATTTAACAAAACAAAAAGAGAACAAAAATCACTGACCGAAAAAAGTAAGAGTTTATATGGCAATTGGTTAGTTCTGAGGTTTTTATGAGGAAATTGGGCAAACTGTTCAAAGGCATCAATTGGTTTTGTCAAGTTCTTTAAGACCTTAGATTACATACTTGTTGTGGCTACATAGAGCATGTTTTGGTAAGCGAGTTTGATCCCAAGAGCTTGATTTGTGGTGAAGGCTCTTAATTTTCAACGAGGTGGAGATTGATGTAGCACGACTCAATAAAAGGATAGCAATTTACTTGGACAGCACCTTCCTTCGCAACGCTTCCTACAAATAGGATTGTTGAAGTTTTCTAAGAGTGAATGATCGCCACAATTAAGAGAACCTATGAGCTTCGGGTGCAAATGGTATTCTCCATTGAGAACTGAGACTGCATAAGAGAGCTTACTTTGGTTGATTGGACGGACCTATCAGTTTCTCACTGTAATTTTATTTACTCTTTTGGTTTACTGGATTATCATAGTCTTCACCCACATGTGCATTGTCAAGTTTAGGGTGAACCATCCTAAATTTTGTGATCCTGTGCTTATGTACTTTACTTTTCCTCTTCCATGATTCTCCTTCCTGTGCTAGGTTTGCAATGTTTGGCTGGGTAGTTGAGTATAGAAATTACCCGAATGCCAAAAGCTGGTAAGGACGTATTCCCATGTGCTACTCTAATAAAACAAGCTACATTTGTTTTCAAAGGAAAAGTGACTATAAACAATATCAAAGGGAACAGTAATTTGGAAACGAGATACTAAGCTAAGAAAGTTGATGATTAAAATGATTAGATAGAATCAAAATAACAGAACAGAACTGTCAGCCATTGAATACCTTTTAGTAGGACGGGATTTAAGTTGTGACTCTTTCTCAAGGCCAATTTTATCATTCAAGCCCAACTTCAAGTCGGGCATTCCAGAGAGGAAGCATTTCATAAGAATTTTCCCGGTTACATCACAACGCAGCACGCTACCTATAGTCACCAAAATTGCTTATGAGTAACCAAAAAGACATTGTTCATGCAACTCATTCAAAACACCTTCCCCACCTTTGGAAGACATAAGAAGATTTACACTTTCCACAATATCCAAGAAGACCTGCATTGAAAAAATGTTAACAATCTAATAGAACATACAGTAATGAATGTAAAAAGAAGTACAAAAATTTAAATCACCTCATTCTTTTTATAAACAAGGCCCTCTCTGCGCCAACCAACAGCACCTGTAACTTGTAGAGTTGCATTTGGGACTGGTTTATCTGTAGGCTTTTGTTTTTTGGAACACAGTTGAAAAGAAAAAATTGATCAGAAACTAATATCATGATATATACATGAAACAGCTACAATCTTCTGTATATTATCATAGAAAAAATTCCTAAGAGATTTCATACACATTAGCCCTACCATATCCTGAACCTGAACCATTAGAATCATCTTACCTTAGAAGAGAATGGCGAGCGCACTCCTTCTTGAGTGATGTAAAGCTTTAAAATTTCTGGAGAAAGATTCTGTGGATAACCAAAATCCATAATTTCTGCAATTTAAGAGTACATACTATTCAGACATTTATATGATGAACTCTCAATATAAATGATATATTTGACCTTCTATTGTAGAACATTGGTTGACTAAAGATAAGTGTAATTAGAAACAACAAAAATAGCTGAAAAAGATATAAGTTCATATGACATCCAAAAACTGACAAAGAAAAACATGCATGCATTTTCATATCAAAATCAACAAATAACATAATGGATGCTTACATGAATTCAGGCATGGTCAGTGCATGCTGCAGCACATGAATTTATAGACCAGAGACACAAAATAATGCAAATTTAACTTAATGTTACTCATTTCAACATCATCATATTCCATACAGCTGAATATAATAACCAAGATCACAAATAATTAGAGTTCTTATCCAGGATTGTTGATGTAGTAGTTTCCGTGCTGGGAAAAGGCAAACAGAGAACCAAGTGAATCATTATTGTGGACCATTTCTCTTTACCTTCTTTAAGTTTGAAATTCATGATATTCTCAGATAAAGATAACGAGTCCAGAATGGAGGGCATCAAGTGAAATATACATCATCTACTATTAAAACTCCTTGCACAGAGCCATGTGTTCAAATTGCACAACAATTGCTATGTTATGCCATTTTACAAAGCCCCACCATACTGCGTCGGATGTGTTGAGAACAAAACTAACAACAGTCGCATATTCTTGTGCACAACAAATATTACGACTAGCAAACCCTGTCACATTGTAAGAGGATGTTGTGTATGGTTGAACTATGTGTAGCAAACCCAATTTCTCTTCTACTTTTCAACTTTTTTCCTTTTTTAAAGTGCAAAGCATGAGTTGGATACAGTTTTGTCTACCACACAATAGCTTCTGTACATGCATGGACACAGTATAGTTAAAATTTTGTTCAAAGACATACCGTCCAACAGCTCATAAATCAGAACAAAATTATTACGAATTGCATCTTCATCAAAAGCCCCACCAAAATAAGATTTGAACAGTGCAACAGCCTGCAAGCAGAATAGAGTACCATAATCATCTACCACAGTTAAGACTACTTTTCACAGGTTCACATAACAAACTATAAAAAAACACATTACAGATCCATGTTCTCCAACCTCAGCTTACAAGGTGGGTCTTACTATTATAAACTTGTCTAAGGTGAGTTAAAAACCTTTATGGGCAGACCTGTATACTTGCTACATAATATGGAAATCTTTTTAGCATTACTGGGCAATGAAAACAAAATTAATTTACTTGGTCCATCCCCCCCTTTGGATTGATAAACAACACACGATATTTCTCTAAGTGACTGGTGAAAGATAACCAATAAAGATTTCATGGACCCATTCTATATAAACATTAAAACAATAAATCTGTAAGAGAACCCTTTAACAGCTTTGGTCCTGTCAAATTTTTCTGAATAAAAACTTAGAATTCAGAATACGATGCAAGCTTCTTGAACATGTTTAGCTAACAGATAACTTGAAGATGTTTAGCTACCATGTAACCAAGGGTAGAGAAGATCCTTACATCCGATCATCAATATAGAAAGTCTTGAAATCCAAACAGGAAAAGGAAATCTACATAGACTTTAGATGATAATATCGTCATTACCTCAACAACGAACTTGAATGCACAGGCTACATTTGCATTGCTGCTGACTACAATAACAATATAAACATTGCTGATTCTCATGTAAAAGAAAGAGCATCCACCAATCTGCCGAACAGGACATGTTCCAAGTTCTTTTGTTTGCATTATGTGCATTCGGAAAGCATCCACCATATTTCCCCTGAAAGAAATGAATTGTTACTACACACTAAAACTTTAATAAACTTTTACTTACGAAAAATGCAGCCGACAACAGAACAACGAGCAGCAGTATGTATGGTCTAAACACATGCAAACAGAAGTTTAGACCTGACAATAGTATTTCTTGCACCACCCTATACCATTTTATGCGAGCTTAGAACCTACCCCAAACCCTCCATGTTGCCTTCTCGAAGGCCAAGTAATTCAGAACAGTACCTTTCTACATATAGTCAAATAAAAATACCCCACAACAGCAGTAAATACTAATCCAGAAAGATTAAACATTAACAGAAAAATCGTGGTATGTGCTTGCCTGCCTGGGCCTTAGTCCATAAGGTAATGAGTGTACTGTGGTTGAAAGTAGCTCTTAGGATAATTTCATAAGACACACAGAACTGATCCTATGGAAAATCATTGGATCTCAAAGAAATTATACAAGCTGACTCAGAAGGCCTCACTCTTACACTGTTGCCTACTACATATACATGAACAAAGAACTAGATAACTTGTTAACAAAAACCCGCAAAAAAGAATTAAAAGAAAGAAAAATCCCTTTCCAAATGCCTGTGATTCAATTTTCATAAATACACAAGAAGTGAGCGTCATATTTACCCAAATCCATAACACAATCAATTATTTAATGAGTACCTAACAAGCCTCAGCCCCCGTCCATAAGGAACATTTTACACCGAAAGCAGTAGACAAGCTTCAGCTTAAGTAGTTTCATCTAAGTCTTACAACACCTAAATAAATAGCAAAACTCACAGAACCACTGCAAAAGTATTGAGAACAGCAGCAGGTAGGCCAACATTTGTATGAAGAATAACAAAATAGAACTATGCACCATTTCCCACTTTCGATCTAAATTTCATTTCTCTACATCTCAGAATGACAAAAGCACCTTGTCACTTACAAATTTCAACAATTTGACACAAACCCAGACACCTTAAAAGCACAAACAGAATACCCATTGACCAAAAACCTTGTCGCAATACATAAAAGTAACTTTCAGGCCATACCCAGATACAATAATCCACAAATATATAAATGTAATCCAGATGCAATTATACAGAGATATATACATACAACCCATTTCTTAACGATATTATACCGACCAATTCACAGTACCCAAAAGCTGAGAGAGAGAGAGAGAGAGAGAGAGAGAGAGAGAGATTACCCAACATCGTCACGATATAGGCGGTTGATGAGAACATCACCCCGGAGGTTCAAGAAGTAAATGGCGGAAGCAGCCACCGGCATCTCTGATCCAGTGGATCAAGACCCAAATCAACTGATGAAATGGGACGGTGACGGGACTGAGTCAGCTGTCAGATCTGCGAGATTTGGAAAGGGACGGCGGTGATTGCCAGACGAAGGCAATTCCAATGGTCTGTTGGTTGGTGGTGTGAACTGATAGCTTGTGAATTTCGGGGTGAGCAATGTAAACAATTGTAGACTGAAAACAAAGAACGTGAAATAAGAGAAGTTCTGTGTTTTCAAGATCAACAAGTCGCGGAGTTGCAGTCAGAGAAGTTGGTCTTGCCTTCTAGTTTTGCATATTTGGATTTCACGCGCGGCAGCTAGCATTTGTTGAAAACTTAAAAACCATATATCCTAGCAGACATGAAACAATAAATTAAAATTCAAAAATCATATAACCTAGCTTAAGTGAATTTATCCAGTTGACCAAAGTAGCGAGCTTAAATTTGAGTAAAAATATGTTAGCAAAAATTTGACGCATGACTAATTTCACATGCAGTTTTGATGGTATATGATAAAATGGACCAAATTAACGTGCGGATCACATTGATTGATTTGAAAGTTTAAGCACTAAAATAAGGACTTTGTTAAAAAACTCTCATGCAACGGGTATAGTAAAAAGTGTTATTTCCAGCCAATAACAAAATAACACGTGGCATAATTTTTCTATGTGTCATTGTGTTATTAGTCGAGGATAACCAATAGTGTTATTCCCGTTACAAGAAAGTTTTTTTCCTTAACGAGTGTAAGGATCATTCATAGTAAAAATCCATAATAATAATAGTAAGGGTTAACTTTAGTTTATTACAATTTTAACATCTAAGTACACGCACCTTTCGAAATTGGTGTGATATTATTAGGTGGTTAGATTGGTTGTTGAAGAATTTGTTAAGTTATGGTGTGGCGCCCATGTGGTAATCTAATAGGGTTTTACTCTAGGAAGTTGGTCCTCTCTCTAGGCATAGAAATGCACATACTCTTCTAATGTGTACAGTAAACTACAAGACGTATTAGGATTCTTAACGTGCAAAAATGAAAGAGAGAGAGAGAGAGAGAGAGAGAGAGAGAGAGAGAGGAGAGAGAGAGAGAGAGAGAGAGATGTTGTTGTAAACTCTCATGAACAATTTTTCAATACATACAATGAGTTCTTTTAAATATATATATATATATATATATATATATAAGTGATAGTCTAAACTACAAGGAGAGAGGTTTTTTTCACACACACTATTAAGGTGTCATGAGGATTTAAACCTGAGACAACTTATCTGCAAATCAATGCCATTTTTTCATTCAGCTAGACCATGTTAGCTGAAATGAGTTTTTCATACATACATAATAGTTTCCTCAATGTATATTAAATGAGAAAACATGGGAATGCTTTTAGCAAAGATGAACATAACTAGTTCATATAAGAGTATGTCTTTAGTCAACGGGGATAGCCCAGTGAAAAAGGACCTTAAAAATTTAACCATTTTATTTATTTAATTATTTTGGAGTTTTATTTTATTTATTGTGGGGGTTATAAATATTTAATATTCTGGTTTTATTTCTGGTTGGTGAATGCCTTAATTTTTTGGTTGGTGAACTTTTATGGTTGGTGAAGGTTACATGTTTTTGGATGCCTATAAAAGGCCACTTCTCCTTCACATTTGAGACAACCACAATACACCATCAGAATATCACATACCACAATCACCACCACAAACTAATTCTTTCATTTTCTACTTATATATATATATATTCTCCACTTTATATTATTATTTTGGCAATAGTTCTGTGACTTGAATATCTATATCTGTCTATGAACGTGCTCATAGAGAATCTTGAGTTTGTGTACAAGGGGTTGTATCTTGGAGTCTTGTAGACCGTCAGTACCTATCTGCACGTAGGGAGGCTACAAAGGGTTTAGGACAGTGTCTTTGACGTGCTTCACCGTACCAAACTCACCTTCTTACTTATTATTTATTTTCCTTTTACTTGCCTATTATTTTGTTTTCTTCAATTTCATTATACCTTCAAAGCTTTCCAATTTGTTTATATGTTATTTATAATATAAATATTTTGTATTTGGTTTTACGGAAAGAGGAAAATTATTATATTTATAACATTTGCAGATTAGTGTGTGTGAGAAACTCCCCCTTCCCTTACAATTTAGACTATCACTTGTACTAAAAAAAAAAAGAGTGTCTTTTTATAAAAACAAAAAAAAAACAAAAAATTAAATTAAATAAGTTCGCAATTTCTTCCATTTATTTGACTTCGTTAATCAATGTAGTCATCTCCATCTAATTTCAGTTGAAAAAACATTAGAAAACATTTTAAAAATTAATAGAAAAAAGCTAAAGTTGTTCAATAAATTCAAAATTCAGTTTAAAAGTGAAAAATCAATAGAGCGAGACGCAAATAAAAGCCAGAAATGAGTGTTAAGCACAATAAACTATTGTGATTAATCAAAAGACACTATAATTTTTATAAATTACTTGATTTTCTATTAACTAATGCCATGTTAATATTGGGATGGATAGTCGTTATCCAGGTTGTAGTGCGAACAAAAAATATCGCCTCTTCCTCCATTTCTCTTGCATTCCCCTCTCATCTTCTTCCACTTTCTTCACTTGATGAAGAGAAAGATCTCAATATATATGAGTTCCTCAAAAAGTATGAACACATACCTGCGGGGTGTATGCTTGGATTTCTTATGAAATGCAAAAGCATAACAAATCAAAAAAAGAGTTCGTAAAATGTTTTGAAGCTCATGTTGAAGACTATATTAAAAACCATGGAAATGAAAAAAATTAGTGGAATTATGAAATCTATATATGGTGGCAAATTATGAATTTGGTAAAAATAATTTTACCCTACCCTCTTTTTCATTAGCACAATTACAAGACATATAAACATGAATACGTTCCTAAAATTGCATATTTTGAACCAACTAGCTTTTAATCTAATAGAATCTCTCTTCTCAAATCTTAGAAGCGCTCTTAAAGTTCGAATTCTCATTCTCTGTTAATTAAAAGAAATTGCATATTTTGAACCAACTAGCTTTTAATATAATAGAATCTCTCTTCTCAAATCTTAGAAGCGCTCTTAAAATTCGAATCCTCATTCTCTGTTAATTAAAAGAAATTGCATATTTTGAAGGTAGTTCAAATTCTACCACACAAAGTGCCATCTTTCTCTCGAAAATAGAACACTTCTCATATTTTATGTCAAAGTTATTTTTGCTATAACATTGTTACTATTATAAATAACATAAATCGTCGCATATAATATGTTGAAGTAGGTTTTTTTTTTAATATTTTTTTTTATTATATATAAATATACAAGCAATCTTTGCTTTGACTAATTGGCCTTGCCCGCATTCGCTTTCACCTTCTGTTTTTTTACCGTGTACCTTAGAAATTTGTTCGACAAATGTGATTTGTATGGGTAGTTATACCTTAGATTTTTACCATCTATATATTTCTTTGACAAATGCAAGTGATGTGAATACTTCTAAAACCAATCGCTATGTACAAGGAGTACAAAATTTATTAACATTTCGCTTGTTGGTAAGAAATTCTCATTTAACTAGGAATAAAATAATGAGATAGAGATGCATGGAATATATAATATATTGTATCAACACAATTCTTAACTACTCAAGTTACATGTACTTTGATGAGATGTTTATAATTTTAAACTATGAGAACATGGTACCACATTTTAAGCCATAATACAGTACTTCTCAAGAAATAAATTCATATGTTAATGTATTTTTTTTAAAATGAGTTAATTAGATTGCAATCCATTTCCCAGATTCAGTTTCTATTTTGGTTCATATACCTTTTTTCTTGTTGGATTTGTCTTGGTGGTTTACTGGTTGTTCATGGTGATTCAAATTCTCTTTAGTCGCTGTTCTGTTCATTGTTTATTAGTTTTATCATTGCAAGAACCACCCTTTTGGTGTTTTCTTTCTATCCCAAATATGAAGGTTGGCATTTGACCCAAAAAAAAAATTATGAAGTTGGCATCTAGCCCAGTGGAAAAGGGTATTGACTTGTAAACCAGATGTCTCACGTTCAAATCCCCACAGAATCATAGTTGTGTGCATGTAAGAAATCACATTCCCCTCTAGTTTAGACCATCCCTTTACTTTAAAAAACCATGAAGTTGGCATTGGAGTTCAAACTAGAAATAGCTGATCTGCAGGCAAATGTTCTTACTACTAAACTATGGACCCTTTGGCGATTTGAGTTTATTATTAATGAAAATATTGTTCTCTCAAAATAAAATAAAAAAAGCCGCGACCAACCAACTTGCTAAAGTCAGCACATTTGGCCACGCTATCAAGCGAACCTACACGACCAGTAAACTTTATCATTTCTCCGTAGGTATAATAGCTCTTTTTTTTTCTTTTTTTTTTGCACACAAGAACATAGCAGGAAGAAATAAATTACTGAGAAAACTAGCAAACCTTTAATTGTGAATGACGGAAAATGGTTTGTTATGAACTGGAAAGGATCACGATGGTTGCTACGATCCATGTACATCAAAACATCCATGTTATGCTACGATCCATGTATATCAAAACATCCATGTTATGCTACGGTACTATTAATCTACAGTCTACAGGGTTTCATTCTAGATGCGCATGCCTCTCAGCCAACAGCTGCTTTGTTTCGATCCAATCTTCAGTACTTGTTTCCTAGAGGTGACGGCAGCGCAAGAGAAAGAGAAAGGGATGTTGAGACTTCATTGTCCTCGTTGTTAATGTTGTTCACCAGCTTGGGATTACAAGTTTGAAGTTCTTTTTGGTGTTCAAAATCAATAAATGGTGCCCCTAATGATAGCTCAATACCTGGAACTTGAGATTCAACCTTTCCTGTAGTTGTACGAACTTGCATCTCCATTGAAGAGACAGACATATCATAGGGTTTACCACATCCAAGATGTTCCCCAGAAAAACCAGAACCACACACATCTGTTTGAAATGGAAATCCTTTATCTGAAAACTTTGACTCATCTGTCTTGACCCTCTTGAGATCAGGCTCTTCATCAACGCTCACACTGTCGATGCTATATCTTTTACTACCTTGAAGAAAAAATCTGAAGTCCATCTCCTGCCTTTGCTTGGATTGTCCTCCTTTCTGCAGGCCAAATTTGGATGTCAGAGCTAATTTGACTAGAGAATGATGTTTTGCTTGTGCTAGAGAAACCTCATGTACTTTTATAGAAAACAATTTACAAAATAGAGGAATAGAAATCAATGAAGACAAGACCAGTTATACATATATACCAATCATCAAGTACCACAAACTCTGATAATTTACCAACTCAAAAAATTGAATGCACCAAAGTTGGCACTCTTTGCCAAGATTTACCAAGCACATTATAAGTAAAAACCTGAGCAGACCAAATGAATGGTCTCGTTATTGCCTAGAAACCCACTCACCAATGTTTGCCCATTGACCAATTGAACACCAGCCCAGATGTCTAGTCACCCAACATAGGTTACAGAGTTTGCTCTAATATTACACTTTTGTATCTTTCTCAAAAAGTTAATTTATCTGTCTTTGAATGCTTATCACAGGAAAATATAATGATGAAGGTACCAAAAGGATTTCATTAAAGTTAAATGAACTAACTATCCACAAGCAAGAAAATGGAAAAGAACAAAAGAGCACAAAGAAAACAAAGCAGTTTATCAAAATTCCTATGAAGCATCAAAATCACCTGATCCTTGCTACAAAGCACAAAATAGTACAGAGTAGGATCCGTCACCCACTAAGTGCAAATCCAAGGGGTCCATTTGACAACCATTACTATCTACTCATGATTTCACGACAATCATTGAGGTATCCCAAAAGTGGGCTATCAAAGATTAAGATCCCCTAGCATCCTCCCTAGATTACGGTAACACCACATGGAGTTCTGTACTTAAGAGGAGGGAACCATGGAAGTAATATGGGATAAAGTCAAGCTCTAGTGATCATTATTGGCCTCAGTCATCTGAGTTTCAGAAAATACAAATTTTCTCTATTTTTGCAGATTGGAGAGCTCTGTTGTTATTTAAGTTTCTAGAGTTATTTTTTTATACAATATTTCTATATGATAATATTTTGTTTCTTTTGTTGTATTGTTTGGACTTTGCACTTTTTAACGGCTTCGATAAAATGGGGTTTTCTTTATCTTTTAAGAAAAATGTTGTTTTCTAAATCTTAACCATTCTCTTTTAAAAATAAAAAAGACTATGTCACATTATTGGCTCCATGACATGATGTAGCTTGTCATTGGGGCAATGCTCCATGCATTACATATTCATGGGACGAGTTTGAATGATATGTGTGTCAAATTACGTAAAGTGCTCATATTCATGTCATGAAGGAGGATTGAGATTACAAAAAATAAAAATAAAATAAAATCAATAAAATGGAATGCCTATGGAGCTTACAAGGATCTGAATCCAATCATCAAAATTGCCAAATGAGGATCCAAATTCTAGTAGTTAGAGCATATGAAGACTAAACCACATAAACCGAATTTTATTCTTTATAAAAGCTTTAGGTTCTTGTAATCTTGAACAGAACACAAAGCCATGGTAGATTAGCAACATTATCAGCAATCACGATAGATTAATCATCTTTCTTTTTCTGTAGGGCCTACGCCAAAAACTTCTCAATTGGAGTTACATTAATTCAATGTCTTCTCATTATAATCATCAACAATTTCATCTTTTGGGTTTGACAAACTATAAATGTGAGGTAAAGTTATTATTTCTTTAGTGCATGTTCATTATAAAAGAAAAGTTTAAATTTATTTGTTTATCTATATATTCAAACGTATATAGTTATCAGTGAAGGGATGATACTCTAACTACAAACCCTGTTCTGCAAACAACTAACTATACAGTTGCTGATGACACTGAAGGATATTCAAAGACCTCCATGTTCCATGATGCTAAAAATGTCATAATTCATCGATCATTAGTGTTTTTCCTTAATTATGTATTTTTGTTTCTTTATTCTATATTTAAAAATTGTAATAAAGTTATTATTCTGGCCATATGATTGACAGCTAAGCACAAACTAACAGCTAAAGCTTTGGAGAAGTATATATATATAAACAAGGAGAATGCATTAATAAGGCAATTAATCACTAACTAAATACACATACCAGGATAGAGTCAACTTGATTCACATCTCTTGAAGGCTGCGTGAGTTCAGAGCAAGAAACCCTCCTCCCTCTAAACACACCCCACAGAAATAACATCCTATTCCAACCTGCCAAAGAATAAGATTACATTTACTGGGGAAAAAAGAATATATATATATATATATATTTGATTAAATTGTGTGTCGAAAACCATCTTTAAAATATGCATGCATAATGGTCAATCCTTACATTGCGAATTCTCAGGAAGCATGTTAGATGGGAATATTAACAGTTCAACGCCATCAACATTTGCCCTAAGAGCCAAGTCATCCCTAACCATGCATTCCACCATAACTTTGTAGTTTCTTCTATAGCTGGATAAATAGCATACAGAATTAGACGGATGGCTAGCATGAGAGAAAACTTTAATTTATTATTTTATTTAAGGAATAACATAAACAAAACCTCTCAAGATCTTCTGCAAAAAAGTAGAGAGCAATATTATCTTCTGTTGGATGATTTCGTACGAATTGAGTTGGCCATGTGCTCAAGCGAGGAACTTCCTCCACCAGCATTTTCAGAGGAAGCTTGGGTACTACTTCAAGAACTTTGGGTGAAGCAACAGTAGACAAATGTGCTTGCATTCCATCACAAGAACCAAGGACTCTTCCATTTCTCCACATTTCAAATCCACCTCTGCATGAAATGCCAGAAGCACACGCATCAGAACATACTCAAAAGGCAAGCCAAAGACCAGTGTACAAGAAAAGATCTACTAAAGGAGAAAAAGGCCATACTTCCATATGTAATCAAGCTGTGGGACAGCAAAAACCGGAGAAAAAGCGTTTGAAGAGTTTCTCACGTGAGGCCTTCCTTCCGAATGCAAATTGACATTAGAATTATTTTCTCTGATAGCAACTGCTGCTTCTATGTAATGATCAGCATGCTGTTTCGCATCACCAACCACTCTATTCTCTTTCTCATTTACATACCTTGAGCCTTCATGAGCAAGATGATTAGTTGCTTCTGATAAGTTTTTTGATTTCCTATGGCCAGTCTCCAGATCATGACCAACAGGGAGTAAACTAGTTTGACCACTAGATGCAATTTTTTTGTCACTCTGTGGCACGAGAAGACCAGAACCATTCACTAAAGGGTTAAGTAGCTTGGCTTCATGCTTCACCTGAGTAGAGTTCTCTTGATTTGTAAACGTCGATTTCTTTGAGTCCTTGAAATGGTATGGCACTTTAACTTTTGTATCGGAACCATTTGAGTGGTTTGACCTGGCATTATCAAAGGACAAAGATTTACACATTGCGCTGGCGATATTTTTCTTTTTGTTGTCACCAGTAGCATTGTTGTCGACAAATTTCTGCTTTTGGACACCACCTTCATCTGACAGTTTGCCCTTCACTTTTGAATCAATGACGTTGAATGATTTTGACTTCAATAGAGCACCTGTAAAGTCATGATTGAGAATTTATCATATGCAGTTACAATTCATACATAATGTTGTCAAAAAATATCTATGGCCTCTAAGCTGCATAACAAGTATACCTTTTCTCATTTGCATTTGCGATCGAAATTTGTCTGATTTGTCTGATGTAATAGGCAAGTACGCATTTTTCAGATAACTGCTCGAAGATTGGTCACCAGAAATCACATCCATGGTTGCCTTTATTTTCTTCTTATCTAATTCCTTTTTTGAAGCATCCTTATGCAGTACAGTTTTGCTGCAGAAACTAGGAACCCTTGGCAATTTCACACTTGTTTCAAGAGCCCTTCTTTTACTGACAGACACAGCTTCTGCATTGACTGTAGGTCCTTTGCCAGCAAAGCTAGGAGAAGAACCAACTTTGCCTGTTTTGATCTCAATTCTAGCACATTTACTTTTCATCGACAATCTGTTCTTTAACTCTGAAGCATCCACGTTTTTATAGTTTTTCCTTATACCGCTCAAAGATGATCCTTTTACGACCCTTTCAGCTTTTACATAGTTGTGATTTTGTTTCTCAGATTCTTCCATATGCATACAATCTTCACACATCCAGTCATCTCCAGGAACTTTTTCCATCATTACCTGCATGCAGTATCTGGTTGACACAAGAAGATAAGTTAAGGAAAACCATAGGCTTTCAAGTTCTATAGTGAAAAAAAAATAAACAAAAGAAAGCACCCAAAAACAAAAAGATCCAGAAAAGATGAGTTACATACATGTGCTCTGCCCCATCAATGCACCTGCTACATGTAGCAAGCAACTCCTCACGACCTGTATCCCCACAGATATCACAAACTTTCACCTGTTTTGCATGACCCAAAGAAGGACCAGGAAAATGGAATCACTAAGATAATTGTTGCCCTATTTAATTGAAAAAGGGTAATGGATGCAATAGCAACAAAGAAAGAATAGTTTCCTACATCAACAGTGCAGTTTTATTTAAAGGCCAAACATACAGGAAGCAATAGAAGGAAACAGGAGAATAATATAGGGTGAGGATTAAACAAGATAGCTATGTGACATATTATCTATCAAACCTTTGCATCCAAATTAGTAACTGTTATTTGCATTCCAACAAAGCTAAAATCAAACAGAACTGCCAATTTCTTTCCCTTATTTACCACCTTATGATGACAATAACTAAATTTAGCATGTGTTCATGTGTGCGTGTACCCACACAACTTAAGTAACAATCTCTTTTCTTGAAACAAAAGAATATAGGCAGTATCAACTGGGCAATACTAATCAACCTTGTGATCATCTCAATATAGGACAAGCATTGCTGGTCAATGCCAATCTACTCAAATAAGGCAGCGTAGCTGGACTAAATGAGATTGTCTACCAAAATAATTCCCCCACCATCACCAACCCATCCACTTCCTCCCTGCCTGTGCAGGTTTGCTTAGAATGGGCTAAACACAGACTTAGTGTAAATCATATTATGACATAAGACCAGCAATAAGATACAGTTTTCCAGTCAAATGCACAGTGGATCAGATTATAAAAAGAAAGGAATATTTATCTGAAGTACAAAAATCTATGAGAACACATTAGGCACCACCACCTTCAGTACTTGATAACCAATATACACCTGTGCACCGTTTTCTTTCAAAAACAAGTTTGTATGGCTATGCAACAGTGGTGGCGGTGCATGGCTTTCTGTGGTTGCAAGTGTGTGCATGGATGTCTATCTCTGTGTCTATGTGTCCATGTGCCGTACTACTATATTCATTTGTCTTCTTGGGACAATGTCCCATTTATGAGAGGAAAGTATGATGTCGAGGTTCACAACAACTTGTTCCTCATCATCTCAGGAATTCCAAAGTTTGCACATCAACATTTAAGGAAATTTCATGGTTCCATTCCGGTAAGATAGACAGGGCACAAGAAGCAAGTTTAGCAGTAAATTTTACCAGAAAGAAAAAGTACATACATCATCCTCCCCGACATCTGATCCATCATCACAGTTAACAGGCTGAGACTGCGAAGGAACTTCCTGTTCCTCAACTACTGCATCACACTTCACATCATCTTCTTTTTTAACTGAAAAAATTCCAACTTCAATCGCTGGGCCTCCATCATTCAATTCAGAGTGAGTTTTCAGAGGTTCAGCATAACTATACATACCACAAATTTGATCATCAACCCTAAAGGTTGCCATGCTGTTTGACAATGTTTCTGCTTGCTCCTCAGACCACTTTGAAGGAAACTGAAGAAGAACCCAGGAATTAAATTTCAACCTTAAATAATTTTTTCAAAAAGGAACAATTTTTTCTGATTAAAGAAAATTAATCTAAATTACCCACCTTTAGGAAACCACGATTGGGGTCAATGTCAGTCAAAGATGAAATTTCTGACGAATTTGCTTTGTTTGAAAGAAACACTAATGCCTGTGAAGATTTATTTTGGTAAAAATTACTACTGGGCATTAAATTTCTTCTTCTCTTAAACTGATTATTACCATGAACAACTTATTTCTCAAAAGTCTTACCTTTGAATTTGACTCAAAATCTTGAGAATTAGGAGCTGCCTTTCCCATGGAGACTTCGTCTGTAAACCCGTCAGTCTCTGTAGCCGCTTGTGAAAGTGAAGCCACTGGTTTGATATGCATACAAGACGAAAGTGAAGTGCTGCTGCACACATTGCATGTCCTAGCTTCTCCTCTAGTTTTCTTAAATTTGTCACACATAACCGTCAAATTTGAGCAAATAAGTAAGAAAATACCATAAAAGGGAACTGCTGGGTTTCATATCCAACAAAAAGCATATATATGAGCTAAAAGAAAAGAAAATAGAAAAGAAAATAAGGGAGTGAACCCATCTGTGGGATCAGGGTCTTCCTTGCTCTGTTCCTTTTTATCTTGACTTGTCTCGTGGTTCACGTTTGTAGTTTTTCTCTTTTCCTATAAAAAAAACATAAATAAAGAAAAAAAAGAAAACAGGTCCTCTTTGCTAACAATGCTAAGTAATGTGTGACTCAAACACAAACTCACACGTGTTTTTTTTGCTTCCAGTAATATCATACTAAAATGCATAGCTTGTCCTTATAAACGATGCGTGCTTCTCGTTTATTTCGGTTCTAAAATGCGTGCTTCTTTTACTTGGACGTCTAAACACGAAACATGACGGAGGGTCAGTTTGTGATTGTTGTGATGTGAAAATAATTTCTGTCAGATTTATTGTGAAAGAAAAGCAGTTTAGTGTTTTATAAGCTTTTTGTTAAAAGTGTTGGCACAATAATCAGTTTATGAGTATTTGATAAATTTTGTATAATAGTGATATTAATGGCATATGTTGAAATTATTTTTCTATTCAAGTGTATAGTAAAAAGCAAAGCAATTTTATTTTCACTTTCACTTATATAAATCTTGTGTTTAATATGTTTTCTAACTTTCACACCTAAAAATTATTTTAATCATAAAATAAAATAAATATTATGCCAAGTTTTTCTACCATGACTTTTCCAATAGAAAATATAATAGTCTTGTGGTTCATTACCTTCTCATTCTTCCTTGAAGATCACTTGCTCTTGTAGTCTTTCAATGTGGGACTCTTGATATTGCCCCTAATTGTGACTTGTGCTATGACTTCTTTGGCTAAGATGATGACCTCTCATAGCCTGAAACGTGGCTGATCTTGCCTAGCTAGCTGCTCGGTTAGTCACGGTATCAACAAAAAGAATTCTTGCCAAATTTTTTCTTGATTTTCTTCGAAAACATAGATTCAAATGAAATCATGAAAACACAAAAAATGATAAGAAAAGGTTTTATTTCCATATTAAAACATGATAAAAGCATAAAACTTCCAATTGAAAACTAAAGAATTTACTAAAGACACCCAAAACTATAAAAACTCTTACCCTTAAGCCTTCCTTCTTTCTTCTTTTTCTCTTTCAGAATTCTTCCTCTCCCTCTCTTTCTTTCTACTAGTAAAGTGAGCTAAAAACATATATGAAAAATCCTTCTCTAACTTCAACTATTTAGGTGAAAAAGACATGATTAAAATCTATTACTAGCTCTTCCCCCTCCTCTTTATAGCTGGGATTAGTCAACCATATAGATTGCTTACAGAGCAATCTAAGTTCATCACCAACAGCCACCTCCTCCTATAGACTCTCCACCTCTTACCGAACCCTTCCACCGCCTCCTTAAATCTTGCCACTACCACCTTATATAGCCTTCACTAATAAGCACCCTAGAGTGCTTACAAGGCATGAAGATATTTTTTGAAAGAAACAAAATAAGAGAGAATGAAGAAGACAAGAGGAAGAATGAAATATTTTTGGCTGTAGGATTTTTTTTTTTTGGTTGAGAAAAAGCTGCTGTATTTCAAGTTACATCTGAGACAAAACATTAGGCTCATTGTTTTAGGCTTAAAAGAAAATAAATGGGTTTGCTTAAACCTAAAGACTTGAGCTGAACTTAAAGGAACAAAATGTTTATTTATGTATTCTCTTATCCGATGTCCGCACGATAATAATGTCCGGACGTCCGTATAAGAGAATATATATATGAACATGTCTTTACAGCACCTCCCAAACTTGATTTCGGCATAAACTGCGGTTCCTTTTGATCTGTCACAATTTTTGTGTCCATTGGTTTTGTTGTGTTCATTTTTGGTGGCCGGTTGACATTTCTACAAGAGGTGGTGTGGCTGTGATATGGAAGCATGATCGGTCTTGGAGCAGTTATTGATGGGTGTTTTGTGCAGAGATACAATCACAGTCACACCTGTACATGTCGCTTACATTTCCGATCATTCTCGTTGAAATTTTGGAGGTTTCCCGGTGTCTACACTTGATTGGAGCAGTTGTTGACGGTTACACATTCTGTAAATCGGTTCGGAGAAGTTAGTTGCGGTTTGACGGTTACTACAACACCAGATAAGTTTGACTTGTTATCATTAACTACCTCATAGCCACATCAGCCTGACTTGGGCCCATGGAGTATTTTATTTTTCTTCCTTACCTGATGGGTTGTGCTTTCGTTTAGCCCATGTGTTGTTGTTTTTTTTTAAGCTTTACTTTACTTTTATTTTCATGTATTTTTTTAAATGTAATTGCTTATCACCCAAGGTTTTGTTTTCATCCTTATTTTTGAGTTCTTTCAAATGTAATTTCTTTTTCTGATTTCATTTTGTTATTTTTTTCTAATTTGTTTATACCAAAATGAACAGTCAATGAACATCGGACACGTGGACCAAACTAAAGCTATGGAAGCATTCGACACCTAGCTTCAGCACCGTTCCTACCGATCGCCCGATTAGGGCAACTTCAACTCTAGGGACACGTGGCAGTCCCACAATTGAAGTCCACAGTCCCACATCGAAACTCTAAACAAATTGCACACCTCCCAAGGCCTATAAAAGAGGACAACTATCCCAGCTTGGAGGTAATCAATAAGAACTTACGACATACTGCCTATTGATCTGTAGTTCAATCTTATCGAATCCGTACTTACTTAAGCATCGGAGAGCCTTCGGCCGGTACCACACCGGCGCCCTAGGTCTTACCGAGCATTTACTATCTTACAAATCGAACGCCCTACCGAGGCCCAGAGCATACCGAAGGCCCAACATCTCTAAGTTGCGCGGGAAAGTGCCGAATCATTTTTCTACGTCAACATAATTTTCTTTTTCACTTGTAGACTTCTGTTTTCAGTTGTTGAACTGTTATTTGGTGTGGTCGATTAAAAAGGTTTCCAAGATTCCTCTTTTTTATTTCTCTCCTCTCACATTTGGGTTTCGAATGATTTTGCTATCCTTTTTTACCATAGAAGCATCTACTCCAAAACAAAAAAAAATTACGTACATGTTAATCATGTTGTCATATAAATTGTTCTGTGAATAAGGTGGCTGTGAATAAGGTGGTTTGTAGACGATGTTGCGAGTAGAGTGGTGGTGGCGAGGCGAGGGTTCCCGTGGGGAGACGGGCGGGATCCGCTGATTTCCATGTTACCTTGTGTCTCCTTCCTAAAATTTTGACACCTGTCGAAATAATTGACAGAACTTTAACACCGTCAACATTTATTAAAAATAATAATAAAACATCGTAATAGCTCTTCTTCTTCACGTTTACTATGTTCTTTCACAGCCAAACAGATCCACATTACCTCAAGGAAGATGAGGCTTCTCTCTGAACCACCGCAATGCGAATCCCTTCGTAACCAACCGAAATCGTTCGTCTCTCCTATGGCCAATGAGAATTCTGTAAAATCTCGACTGAAAGAAATAGATTTTGAGGGAGAGCAACATACCCATGATCCAGAAAATAGATTCCTTTGAAACTCCTTTGAAATTGCAACAAAAGCGTACTGCAGATTTTTCTTCCGAGAAGATTAAAATGTACTGTTATGGAAACATATAGAAAAAGAAAAATAGATGAAAATTTGGGGATTTTTGTTCGGTTAGAGTAACCGTAAAGAAACCTCCGGCCAACAAGTTCTTTAATCTTTAGAAGAAGAAAAGGTGCATGCTTTAAATAATAATCTTATCAAGACTGGCAAAATTTTCATAAACTCCAGCTTCGTCTCCGATGCCCTCATCGTCCTCCTCTGCTCGCTCGCCATTCTCTTCGCCAAATGAACATCTCGTAAGTCCAGATTCCCCATTTCGTTTTGTCTGCCCATGAAATGCGGGAAAGTGATTACTTTTCTTTCAGTTTTTGCTTTCTTTTTCTGGGTTTTTAGGAATTTGGGTTTCTAAGGTCTTGTCATTGGGTTGATGGATGAATTTGGAGTTTGGTTTTATCTGATAATGGTTCAGATTGAATGCAAATTTGTTGTTCTTTAATTGAGTTTGATTAAGAATCATTTTTGAGAAATTTGGGTTTCGTTTAGATTTTTGAATGGATGCATTGGAATTTTTATAAGGTTATAGGGCATTGAAGAAAAATTGGAGTTGCTACCATGATAGATGAACTGAAATTTGTGGTTCTTGAAATAAAATGCCTTTGTTTCAAATTGTAATTGTGTGAATGGTATCACTTGATATGCGGTTTCTGTGTCAAATTATGAATTTACAGATTTGATACCATTGTTGTGGTGAATGGAGATCTTTGTATTGAAGTATCTAGTTTTATTGTTCACTAGGGTGCCGGTCGATCCACTCCGGTGGCAGATTTCGTAGGACACTGCCAATAGGATTGTTGCCCTTTTAGCGAATATCATAGGAGCAGCTGAGTCTGTACTGAGGGTTGCAGCCATAGGACCTGACAAGAGGTTGTTTTTCAAGGTAATAATGCTTGATGATTGCAAGAAATGTTTATTTTGGTATCAAGCTTTTGCACAGTCTATATAATTCGGTGTCTATGGATGAAAATTTTCAATAGCTAACATCTATACGTATGCTGCTGGAAAATTTAAGTATTAAGGGGAGGTCCTAATACCTGTCTTAAGAATTATAAAATGGTCGAAGTCAGGACATATTTTGAACTTGGATATCGTCAAAATTTGGATCCTTTTTTTTATGGTATTGAGTTGCATATGCAAGTTGTTATGTGCGCACGTGTGTTTTCATGCTTGCAATTGTGTTTCTTACTGGGAAGACTTGGATGCCACTTGGAGGGCACTCCATAATGTACCTTCTCATCTACTGCATAGTATTTTAGAAGAATAGAATGGAAGCTAAAACGTACTTGTAATAACAGTTCCCAAGAGAATAAAAAATATCTGTGTGTACCAGATCTGTGGCTTTGCTATAGTAGAAAATTAATGTTTTGCACTGAGCCCTCACTATATATTTCTAGCTATCTATTCTAACCATGAAACTTTTGTCCTGAGTAAAGGCATCTTGCGGTGGCTGGCCTCTTGTCTCACAGGCCATCATATGTTATTAAAGCAGTCTGCTTGAAGAACAAATCTTGGCTGTGCTAGTCTATCAAATTGATCTTCTTTTTCCTTTCCGTTGGGATGGTTGCAGATGCGGCTTAGCATTTTCGTGATAGCATGTTATCATGTAGAATAAAGTTATGCAAATTTGTCAATGATAATAAGTCATTCCTGCAGACAGCTCACCAGATAACTTCGTATTTAAATCTTCTCCAAGTGGTGTTTTGTCTTTACAAGCTTTCAGCTTTGCGACGGTTGGTGTCAGGTCTTACAGTTGCCTATGCTGGTATGTTTTTTGCTTAAATCTGTTACCTCTTCGTAGCTGCGATAGTTTTCGTAGTTTGGCCATTTAAGATAAAAAGCAGGGTGACAACTTACATGGTGTTTTGTCAGATTCAGTAGCCACTGTCTGATTTGCAACTTGCTTTTGTTTTTTTTATATATTTTTTGTTGATACAAAGTCTTTTACTATTTGAATGCATTCGTGTAAAATTTTCTTTTTCCTTGAATCATTCTGCTCCTGAAACAGGATTATGCTTGTTTTGCCTTTATATCTTAGCCGAGAACAGTCCGTGCATGTTTGTCTCAATTTCTGAGGAGAACGAATGATCTAGCCCAGGAAGATGCTGCAGAGCAATATACTCTGTTGTAGCCATGTACAATGAATCTTTGTATATTTTTGTGCGGTTGTATTTCGGGCTACTCATAGTTTCTGTGTACATATTGTTAATCAGGAGATACAATGTTACGATGCAAATTGTCGAATAATTGACACCATTCCTGAATAAATGTTGGTCATTAGTTTTTGCTACAACTTCTAGGGCTTACTGCAGAAAATAGTCATCCACAAAATGATGGTACAAAGCCATCGCTGAGAATCTATTACAAATATCCTTTGAGAGTTGACATTATTGATTAGAAGTATAACTTACTGATTTAATCTCAACTTGTAAACTACTAATCTTATATGAACCTAATGGATCAAATGCAATGATTAGTGAGATTATCTACATCAGTAAAACATAGCATCAACACACAATGGGAGAACCAAGAGAAAGAGATCAAAGTGGAACTGTTAGCTCTCTATTAACAATAAAACCTATACAACCGTGAGAAAAGAATATACATAATGTCAAGCCTTACAATCACAAACACTGAATAATGAAATATTACATCAAATTCATGAGAAGGCTTTCAAAAAAATTAAACTAAGCTGCACCCATTATAGCAAAAGCTGATGGCTTTTGGCACCCAGTGTTTGGGATCACAGGCCTTGAATCTCTAGGGTACATGATGGCCAAAGGAAGAATCTGTTGCTCCATCTCCTCTGTATTTTCAGAGCTCCAACTTCCAAGTGGTATGAAACTACCATAATCAAGACCACAATTCGAAGAAGATGGCACTGAAGAAACTTCCTTTATTGGTTCAGCTTTAACCTGTGCAATCTCATCAACTTTAGTCACAAAGGGGTGGTCCAAGAGCTTAGCTGCTGTAAGCCTCTGTGAAGGGTTCCTCGCAAAGCAATTCTTCAAGAAATCTCTAGCATCTTCTGATAACCCACCAGGAACCTTAGGAACTCCAGAAGCAATCAGAGGCTTTAGATCATGAAGTTTCACACCGGCTTTCGCATCCCATGGGTGCCTCCCAGTGAGCATCTTGAGCACAACACAGCCCAATGCCCAAATATCGGAAGGCTTCTCCTGAATGCTATCAAGCACAGTTTCAGGAGATAAGTACATTGCAGTGCCTCTACAAGAACGCTCACCCGCAGCCCTCTTTGCCAGTCCCAAGTCCCCAATTTTGGGCACAAAACCAGAACCAGAGGTCACAAGTAAGATGTTTTCAGGCTTCAAATCACAGTGCACAAAACCCCTTTCGTGAATGTACTGAATTCCTTTCAAAATCGACTCTGTATACTTCCTCACTTGTAATTCACAGAGCCCGGAGCCCCCAGATTGCTTTATCAAATCCCCTATTGTTCCTCCATCAGCATATTCCAAGAACACATTGTATACCAAATTATATCCAATCCCAGCCGTGAAATCTTCTCCATAACAGTCGATAATAAAAGGGCACCCACGAAATTCGCCAAGAAGTGACCTTTCGCTCACCAGCTCAAACGATTTAGCCATCAATGCCGATTTCACAGCCATGATCGCCGGAAAACCCTCGCTACCCAATTTGGGTTTTTTCACAGAGGCCAAATAAACCGACCCAAATCCGCCTTGGCCGAGAATCCGCCGTCGAACCCACTCACGCCCAGTAACTAAAAAACTCTTCTCTACAAACCATGGTTCGTCTTCCTTTAGGGTTTCTCTTTTCTGCTTCAATGAACCCATTGTTTTTTGTACTTTGCAGAAACAAAATTAAAGCTTTTAATTCTGGGTCTGGGTCTCACAAAAGCGAAGAGATGGAGAAAACGATCGATCAAATGGAAATGGGTAAGAGAAAAAGAGACAAAGCAGAGAAGTGGGTGATCAACGAAGACGACGATGTCGTTGATAAGGAAAACAGAGATCGAAGCGAACGTTTTAGGGTTCTCTCTGCTTAACTTTGACGCAGTTATTGAAGTTCGTGATTTCCTTTCCTTGGTGGTGTTGGGTTTCCATTATATAGAGAAAGCGTGTAAGCGTTCCAACGGTCATATTTTCTTTCGCGGCCTTTCCCTTGCGTTCTAATTATTTAACAATATAATATGAAAACAAAATGTTGTTATTGTTTTATTTTGTGAAATCAAATAATTGACTGCTACGAATTTGAAATATCTACCCATTTTGCCTATTAATTTTTAAAATGTTACTCATAAATACTAAGGAACTTATGATAATATTAATTCTGCTTTACCAAGGCTAAATTTAACTTTATAGTTAAACTAATATAATTAAGTGGGTTAAATGTGAATCTACATTCTGTCGACGAAAATTCTCACATTTCCTCAGAAAAATCCTCTCTAGCCGTACATACGGGGGGGGGGGGGGGGGGGGGGGGGGGGGGGGGGGGGAGGGTTCACTGTTCCTACTCCCCTTATTCCTCTCTCTCTCTCTCTCTCTCTCTCTCTCTCTCTCTCTCTTTCTTAAGATAGGGTGCGGGCTTTTATTTGCTTAGGGATGACGTGGCTGCCTTTTTGGGTTTTTTTTTTGTGTGGGTCTGTTTGCAGATATCGGGTTTCACCTTGTGATTTACTTGGTGCCTTTTAGTTTTTGTTTGTAATAAGTGCATAAACTCTTTTTAGGTTTTTTGCTTGTTTGTAGTCCTTACTTTTTGAGTTGCAGACATGAGATGGCAGGTTGATTCAAAACCTACGTTTTTGTTGTTGCTGAAGTTAAGAAAGGGGAGGGAGGAAAACTCACACACACATATATCATAGGGGCTTGAACCAGGGGTTAGGACCATTTAGGAGCACACCAAAGTCTAGGTCAATCCAACTAACACCCCATTAATAAAACCCACCTATTTATTAACTGTGTCTTGGCATGTTGAACCAAAATTGACCCATATTTTTAAATTGTAATTGTGTTTTAGAAACTGAACGAAGGTGGGAAGAAAATGGTTGACTCAATGGTCAATGGTGTAATAATTTGCAATTTTAAAGATTATTTTTATCAAATCGTAAAAAGTATTAGTCAAAACTGTTACACTTACATGTATCATACATACCACCAACATAAGTACATAGCGTAATTGACTAAAACATTGATTAAGTTTGGGCAACGAAATGCATTGCATTGCATAATGTTATCTTTTGACCTTGTTGATTTCATAATGCATTGCATTGCATGAGCGCATGGAATCTTTTGACGATCCACACTGTCCTCTGGCCATGGACAATCACTAATAGATGAAGAAGAGCACCACAGCCGACGATTTTGAATACCCTTCTCTCTTCTTTTACTTTTAATAAAGAAAATTAGAAAAACAGAAACTAGTATTTTACATGATGTGATATGTACACATCAGCCGCCACATAAGATTAGTATTATTCCTTTCCATTTGTGTTGCTTTTATCGACTTGGTAGATTTTTCCGTATGAGGTGGAATTCCTCTCTTTTTTTTATTTTTATATATATTTGTTTTTATTTCGCTGTTCTCTGAAAATACTATCCGGCCCATTAGCGTGATGGCTCTCCACAACAAGGCATTTGACATGCCAGCGTTATCTCCACGTGTCAATTTTCCATAGACAGTTAGGATATTCCCACATCCTACCGCACCATGATAATACAAAATTCAACCATGGGCCACACCGTCAGATCTCTCTGACCCGAATCCAACGGTCCAAATTCCTTCGGACAACTACCATTTAAAAGCTGCGAAGCTCAAACCTGAACCCAAGTATGCCCAATGATGACGACGAAGACTTCGTCTCCGTCCAATATCTCGGTCTGAACAAACCGGTTTTCGGCATTTCCTTTCTTGTTTAACCAAATGGAGCTTCCCTTCACATCGTTTACAGCTCCTAATCCTCCAACGACGTTGTTGTGTGGCAAACTCGGCCTCTGCCATTTTCCTGCGACGAGAAAGAGGAGGAGGGCGCTGTTCGACGGAGCTTCTAGGGTTTCGGTACCGGCGGTTAGGGGCTCGGGGGAGCAACGCAGCAGTGAAGGCATTGATGGAAGAGACGGAGAGAGTCGGGGAGGAGGGTTCACGAGCCCTGCCATGGAGGTCACCACATTTAATTCGAGCTTCGGCGAAGCTGAGTTCCCTGTTTGGGAAAAGATTGGTGCTGTTGTTAGACTTAGCTATGGAATAGGTAAGTGAGCTCTACCATAATTACCATAATTAACCACTAATTACCCTGACTTGCTTCATAATTAACGTAATTACTAATTTTTCTCACCCTGTGTGTTGTGGATAACGAATCCTTATCCTGTCGATTTCACCAATAAAAGATTTAATTTTGATACACAATTTGATTTTTCTTTTTCTTTTTTTGTTACATGTTTTTATATAGAGAATTATTGAATTATGTATACTTCTTGTGATGAATTTTTATTGGGTTTCTTTCTGTGAACAGGTATATATGGTGCAATGGCTGTGGTAGGAAGATTTATATGCTCCGTCACGGGGATCGATAGCATGGGAGGTTTCCAAGTATCTTTAGATGCAATTGTACAAGGGCTTGGATATGCAGCTCCACCAATCATGGCCCTTCTCTTTATACTAGATGTAAGTTGATTGATTGATTTATTTTGAAATTTTGCGCAATCATACTGATTACGAATTATTTTTCATTATTTGGTAAAGAGAAAACTTAGAAAGATAAGATAGAAAAGAGAGAAGAGGATCAGTATTTCTCATTGGCAACTGAATAGAGCACAAAGGTCCACACCCAACATCAGTTCCTAGTAATTAACCCTCCATATGTTCATATGGACGCTGATGTACTTCATCCTTTCAAATTTTTTTTAAGACCTCTAGGATTGGATTGGCTGCTCTAATACTAAGTTAAGTTGTGTATTGCAAATGATTAGATTTATAGAGAAAGAAGAAGAGAATGGTAGATTTAAGGAATTGGTTTAAGATTGTGTTTTTGTGACTAACGAATGTGAAAATGGTTATAGGATGAAGTTGTAAAGTTATCGCCACATGCTCGTGCTATTAGAGATGTAGAGGATGAGGAACTCCGAAGCTTCTTTTATGGAATGTCACCTTTGCAGGTTTACCATCTTTAATAATGTTATTGTAAAGCACTTTATGGTGTGCTGATTGGACAAAGCAAGAAACAAGTGACATGTTGCTCCTTCAATGTCGCAGTTTATACTAATTGTTGCCGCAAGCTCCGTGGGTGAGGAGCTTTTCTACAGGGCAGCTGTTCAGGTGTGGTATCCTTGAATATATTTAGCCTTTAGTATATGTTAAAAAATATCGCTCAATTTAAATGTTGGGGTTACTAACTATCATTGCAAATTATAATCTTCCCGATTTGTCAATATGAGCGGAAGAATCACTGTTGTAGGAGAAGTAAATCATTATGATTTTTTTCCCAATCATTTATGACTTTGTAGGGATCGTTGGCTGATATATTTCTTAGGGGCACAGATCTGGTCACAGATGCTCGAGGAATGGCGTCTCTGGTATTGCAGTTTTCTTGACTTTTCTTTACTATAATCAGCAGTAATGAACATTTTCTGACGACTGAATTCGCTCTATTTGTAGACCGGATTTTTCCCCCCATTTGTCCCTTTTGCTCAGGCATTTGCTGCGGTGATTACAGCTGCTCTTACAGGTTCTCTGTACTATGTAGCAGCCTCTCCAAAAGGTTGATTCTCTGAATGACATTTTAAGTAACTTCGGTGAAATTTGTTTGTGCAAGTTTAATGATCAGTTGCTAATTGTTCTTGCAGATCCTGATTATGTAGTTGCACCAGTTTTACCATCTCGCTCTGGTCGTGAAGAGATGAAAAAGCTGTTTGCAGGTTTAACTCGTTACTTGAGCATGGGTTTTTCGGTGCTTCCAGCTTGTTTCACATAATAAGCTAGTTAATGTTTGTGGAACCAAATTAGATGATTAGAACTTTCAACAGATCGCTGGTATTTGCAATTATGGGGATCATTCCATTTTATACAGTTAATTCATGCTTATATTTCAATGTGATATCTACAAAAGTTACAAGTTCTCCACAACGAAGTGCCTTGAAAACTGTGTTTACTACAATAGTTATACTCCATCTGATTCCAAGAAGATGGAGAAAACAAAATAACGTCTCTAAATCTTCTAACTGTAGCATGTACATCTGAATTATAATTTCACCATTTTTTTTCCGTGGTCGTTCTGCAGCTTGGTATCAGAGGAGGCAAATGAAGAAGATCTACTCTCCCCTGCTTGAAGGACATCTGGCCCTATATCTTGGTTTTGAGTGGATGCAGGTACTTTTGTTTCTTGGTTGCAAATTTGTTGTTCATTGAGTACCTACTATACACGGAAGAGGATGAAACTCAATAATCGAATTTCCTCATGTTTTATGAAAAATTTGGCAGACAAATAATATTCTTGCGCCCATGATCACACATGGCATATACTCTGCTGTGATATTGGGTCATGGCCTCTTGAAGATACATGATCATCGGAGAAGACTACGCCAGAGAATCGAACACCTTAAAGTAGATGGCAAAAAGTAAAACAAGTTATGGAGCTTCACACTGCGGGGGGACTATCCCAACTTGGGGGAAAATTTGTAAATTACTTAGAAGAGCAAATATTCCCAAAACTGTATACTAATATAAAGTTGAAGACTAGGAAGTCTGTAAATGTTGTAATATCAATGCAATTTGTAGATGGAGAGTTTTTGTAAACATATTTGTGATAAAAACGTTAGTTTCTTGAACGTACGTCCTGTCATTAACTTCTTTTTAATATTCTGGTTGTGGTTTATTTGGCAACTTAAACATGGAACTTATCAATAATATACTATCGCTAATTTTCAAAAAAGAAAAAAGAAAAAAGAAGGAACTTATTAAATGACGAGCGAGAAAAATCGTGGAAATTGGGGAGATGCTCAAGTTTAATTTCCGCCAAAAGAGTTGTCATTTTGCAAATTCAATTGTGCATAAATTCATTTTCACTATAATTTCTGTCATTTACAAAATTTGATATATATAAATCCAAACATTGAAATGATTAATTGCTAGAAATTTATACGGTGGAGATTAAATGTTGTCATTTAAGAATTCTATGCAATTTTCAATTCCTTCATCCAAACAGACAGGAAAGAATGGAAAGAGAATCTCCAAACCTCATTTAAATGGGAAGATGATGATGTGATATAGAAAGATGACAGTTTCACTAATAAACTCATTTTAGCATGACATAATATACAAAAGCCCTTATAAAGCCTATTTGGAGTGAAAAATCCAAAACTGGTCAGTTGTTATTTTCTATGTTTTAGTATAAATGTCATGTTAAAGCGGGTTTTTGAATAAAAATCTCTAGAAAGAAGATGGATGAAATACCAAATTTGTCCCTTAGAGATGGTGAAAAGAGTATGAATGGACATTTAGAAGGCAAGGACATTATGGTAAGTTCAAAATACTCTGATAGCATAGGAGAGGCGTTTCCTTTTCCGTTTTGGTTTCTTTGCGGACACGCTAGATAGATAGCTTACATATTTCTAGTATAGTTTGGAGCTTAAACAGAGAGAAGAGACGAAAAGAAAAAGTGCAGAGAGAGAGAGAGAGAGAGAGAGTGATGTCTCGGACAATTTTCGACGCCAATGCCGGAGGGTTTGGGCCAGCCAACTCCCGATTCCTCGGAGAAGGTCAACATCTCCCCAGTCTCCCTTCTCAAAATGCTCAATCACGGTAGGCTCCCCAACTTTCTGTAGGGAAGCATATTTTGACTTTTCTCAATTTGTTTATGTTCTACTTCTGTTGATGATACCCTTGACTGGAATTTTTTTTATTTTTTTACGCATCATTGGTTAGCATACTGGGAAAACTGTGTTATGTTCTTATACCGGTAATCTTTTGCAGGGATTTGAAGCCTTAAATCGACGTGCTGTGGCTGTGGTGGTGGACCCCATTCAGAGTGTCAAGGGTAAGGTGGTTATCGATGCTTTCCGGCTTATTAACCCAAATACTGTGATGCTTGGCCAAGAGCCACGGCAGACCACATCCAATCTTGGCCAGCTTAACAAACCATCCTGTCAAGTGAGTTTCTCAACAAGTAAATTTTAAACTTTTTTCTTTGCAATTAAATTTTTTGGCCTCTTATGTAATTTCCTTCTTCAGGCATTGATCCATGGGTTAAAGCGGAATTATTACTCCCTAGCAGTAAATTTCAGGATGAATGGACTTGAGGAGAAAATGTTGCTTAACCTTCATAAGAAGAAATGGACTGATGGGCTGACGATGAGGCAATTTGATGCTCATTCAAAAACAAACGAGCAGACTCTTCAGGTAAGACAAGGTTTCATGAAGCCCCCGTTATGGTTATTCTTGTTTAGTTCGGCATGTATAGCTGAAGGAAATATTAGTTACATTTTTCAATATATATAGAAGCATGTTTCCTCTTTGGCTTCGCGTATGCTTCACTTTCTTTCTGGATCATTAGGAGGTTATCGCTGGTTATGGTTAAGTGTGGAGGTTAACAGGGGGCAGAGTTCTAAGCAATTTAATTCTAGGCCAGCATAGACCTGAAATTTCGTCGTAACGGATTTCTTGCGCTAAACTGCTCATAGGAAAAATTATGCTATTTTGAAACCCTGAAATCTGATTTTGATTGATAGGCAGGTCTCAATGTTCTATCACTGTCCATAAACTCTAATGATTTTATTTTATAAAAACTGCTTAAGCTTCATCTCGATGTTGTTTACCTGGTTAAAAATTTGTGACCAAATGAAAACTAAATTTGTGACCAAATGAAAACTAAAAATTTATACATTTACGTAATTAGGACTTGAAGGTTTCTTACCTTGTAAGGTATTAAGTGATTGACGGGGAGGATTAATGAAGTTTAGCATGTTCATAGGTAGGACTTTCTTAACTGCATGCAATACTTAAGAAAGAATCAAGAACTACTACAAATGGTAGCCTAAAGAGCTGAAGCTAATCAATACATAAGATTTGGCCTCGAGTGTTATTTACCTTTGTATTGTCCATCCTCAGATTCAAAACCGAACTATTAGGAACGGATTCAATTCTTGTTGTGTTACACTGCTAGCGAGTCATTCTATAGTGAGGGCCTTAAGGCCCTTGCCAACGAGGTCTAGTCCAATAGAAAACGACCTTGACTTGCAGACTAGAGGTCTCAAGTTAGAATCCCCACGACATCATAGTTGTGTGTGTGTGTGAGAAATCTCCAATATTGGAGGAGGAGAAATCGAACCTATGATCTCATGTATAGGACTAAATGCTCTTAACTACTTGAAATCTCATGACCCATTTCGATAATGAGGCCAAACTTGAAGGGGGTGAGACATCGTTAATTCTTTTGTATATGCTTCTTGCCTTGCTAGATTTGTTGTAAAATAAATAATTAAAAGCCAATGCTAGCTATGCTCTTGCTGCTACTTGTCATGTGCGGCTAGCCATTCAATAAATTAGGAGGATATTAATATCCACTCTTTTGCTTTGCATGATTTATGTCATTCCTCACTCTCTTTGGATTAACCAAATTTCTTTTCAAACATGATTATTTCATTTTATACTTGGTGGTTGAATTTTTTTTTCTTTTCACCATTGGATTCCATTGGATACATCCAAAGATACAACTACACATGATGTAATTGATTTTTTTTCCCCTAAAATAATTTAATTAGTTAGTTGTTTGAGCCTAGTTGAAATCTGACTGGTCCAAGCCCAAGATCCGATAAATGGATCACCATTTGGGCCAAACCAGGTTCGAGTGGCCCTAATCAATGGTGATGGCTAGAAGCCCAAAATAAGATATGTATCCAAATTCCTAAATGCAATCAAATGCCTAACAATGACCCAATATGACACCATCACTACAGAATTTCGCCTTCAAACGTATATGAAAATAGGGATAACAACCATAAACGCTTCACATGTACTCAGCTCAACGAAAAAACACAAGCCCTTCGCGTAACCAGAGTTAAAAATTAACATTTTGCTTAGCTATGACTATTGGAAATTCTGAACAATACCTATCAGCCATGGTTCGGTAGGTATCATTTACAATTTCTCATTATTCTCAATCTTCTACTTTCTTTTCACTTCCCTTTATTTTCCCCTCGATTCTCATTCTTCCAGTCAAGACTCGAGGCGTGGTGCTAACAAACACCCGGTAGCCTTGGCACCTATCAGAAAAAAAGGCAGACTCATTTTTGGTGTGATTTGGTAGTATCATTGCAACTTGTTATTCTCAGTCTTCTAGTTTTCTTCTTTTCTCTTTGCTATTTCTCAGTCCTCTAGTTGAGAGATAATGCTGACAAACACCTGGTAGCCTTGGCTCATATCGGAAAAAAGGCAGTACTCATTCTTGGCATGGTATGTGGCCATCAAGCCTGTACATGCATGCAAAACGGCAAAGAATCAGAACATCATCAACTAAGATATAATAACCTACGAACTCCCAGAAACAACTGCTATGCATATCATGAGTAGTATTCTCCTCTACTTTGAAATGTTGTGTGGAGAATACCCTTTTATAAGACTAATCAGCTCACCTTCACGTCAGTTTTACCACTTAAACAGTATAAACAGTCATACAAATTAAGTTCCTTCTTTTTGAGCTTAGCTTCCCTTATCTTCACATCCTCTCACAATTGACAGCCACTAGGCCCAGAACTCATCTCACTTGTAATTCAAAGCTTCATATCCACAAGTATATTTTTATACCAGCATCTTAAACTAATTACCATCACACCATGCACAAATAGTATGCTTATCATGAGAAGTATTGTCCTTTACTTCGAAAGGTTGTGTGCCATTTAAACAAGACTAACCAGGTGACCTTCATATCTGTTTACCACTTACGCAGTAGAAACAGTCATACAAATTAGGTTTCCTCTTTCTGAGCTCAGTTTCCCGTATGCTCTCATCCTCTCACAATTGACAGCCAATAGGCTCAAGAACTCATCTCACTTATAATTCAAAGGTTTATATGCACAAAGTCTATTTTCTTAAACTGATTACCATCACAACATACACTAAGTAATACAACCTTTGATGCCATCATAGCATTATGGTTGTTTCTAAGTTCTGAAGTATCTATAACTTTTGTGAACTAAATCCAAAACACCAAAAGAAATAGTATCATTACCGTAGCCAGACGTTTGAACATCAAATCCTTCATCCTAGCACACAATAAAATGATATAGTTAAGGAAAAATACAAGAGAAAGCAAAGGAAAAAACAAAGCCTTGGAAGCAAGATTTTTTATTTATTTTTAATTGTACCTGCAGTTCTCGAATGAGAGGCAAACTTCCAGTAATTGAGTAAGGCTTTACATGCCCAACAACCTCTTCAGTAGCTTTACATAATACGTGAAAGCCACGGGAGTTGAGATCACAAGCAACTCCAGATGACGTCTCATCAAAACTTAATGTGAGGCTGTAGAGAAAAAGAAAAGTATAACTACTTTTTTTATTTTAATAATTAGCATGCCCTAAAAGTTTGTTTGTTTGTTTAGGAAATTCACATATCTGATGGTAGCTATTTAAAATGCAGAGAAAACAAAGGATCATCTAAGGGTAAGAGAGATTGTGAAAGCAGAGGGAAAGGTTTATGGCATGCATCTGACTAATGTTAAAATTAAGAAAGCTCACATGATTGAGTAATTACATGTTAACTAAATGAATATCTTATAAGAATTACACAAGAGGGAGAGAGAGAGAGAGAGAGAGGAGAGAGAGGAGAGAGAGAGAGAGCACCTTCCCTTAAGTTTTCATCTGGTAGGACATACTTTGACACCGGACCTCGTGAGTCAAGCTTTCCAATGTTTTCATTAATGTCATCCACATATTCTTGAAGCTTTTCCATCACGTCCTTAACACTGTAGCAGGTTAATGGTGTTTCCCAAGTTAAAAATGGAGCCCATATGAAATATTTACAATGAAACTATAAGAGACGGAACTTAGCCAAACAAAGTAGGTTGCTTACTTGTAGAAGGGAGTTAACCTGCACCAAAAAAAAAGAGGAAAAAAAAGGAATTAAGAGCAACTCCTAGAAAAGAAAAAGATTAAAGACAAATCCTCTGGAGATGTCATGTCTCTTACGACCAAGAAAAGAAAAGAGATATCATTTTACCATAAAGGCCTCAAACAAAAGTCATCGAGAAGATTATACACCTGACATCTCCTGAAATTGTGCACTCTGCTGGAATTTGATTTATTCCGCCCCCAGGATCTGCAACCGGAAAAAGGTCAATGTAATGTACAAGCATTTTCCCAACATTTTTACCATAAGATTGAAACCTTAAAACTTACAACTCCATTGAGTTGGTTTCATGGTTGACGGTGTTGCAAATCCGTAGACCTCTTCCTTAGGATGGGGAGGAAAGTCTCTATAGAACCGCGACTGGATCTCTTTCAGTGCTTCCATAGCTAGCTCCAAAGGGTTTATAGCCTGCAGATATTCAACATCAGCCTCAAGAGATAAATAAGTAGAAACAGGATGTAATGTCTGCTTTGATTCTTAACTTATTGTAAAAATGCTCAATTGTCCAAGTAGATACAAGTTCAGGCTCTGATTCACTTGCTCCTAACAAGTTTTTATCCTAACGAAATATAGGAGCCACTTGTAGGTCAAAGAAAATAAAATTGAGTTTGAACCAAGATAACTTTTTACCTTCTTTGGAAGTAATAAAAAAAATCATTTAAAACCATTTTAAAGCAATGATATTCATAAAAAGCCCATATAAAATCAACACTTCCCTATCCATAATAGTTTGGGCACAGCTACTGAAACCCTATATTGCACTTCATTGAAGGCATTTTCTATTATATGGAAACCATCATGCCTTCTCTTATTATTACCTGAGCCCTAAGTTGTTAAGCGTTCTTGCTCCTCCTAGGGTCAACAAAAAAATAACATCACTGTTTGGTATTCTGCTGACCGAGGCCCCCACACACAGCTCCAGTCATAGGATTTGCAGCATAAGAGATAGAAGTATCTTATATTGTTTTATGTTTTATCGAGGAAATTTTTATCACGCCTTCTCTTAATAACTCAGCCACATCCATCTAAGTAGCACCTTCAACTTTTACCAGTCAAGTTTATCTCAACCTGTAACATTTTTCTTTGCTAACCAACTTAATACCTCAGCCACTCCAGAAGTCCCCATTTCTATTCCCAGTTATTAAAAAGAATACAGGCTTTTTCCTCACCCTCTCATATCTCGGGTAGAGATAAAAAAATATAACTACAAAACCAGTCTAACTAATTTCCATAATGTCATTGCAAAAGATGTACCTGACAATCTCCTGAAAAGAAACTGTACACTGACAAGTCAATGAATTACACAACATAGTGGTATACCTTGTGTGCTAAACCACTGTGGAAAAGCTTGCCAGTCACATGAAGCTTCCAAGGTATCATACCACCAGTACCAACGCAAGGTTGTTTATCTGCCGTGTCAATCCAAAACCTGAGTTGAACCCCAAAAGTCATAATCATAAACATGAATCAGAGAGATGTTTCTTAGTTTTCCTTCAGTTTTACAAGAAATGCATATTACTTACAGAGGACCTTCCCTTAGCTTACTGAGTAGCCCATCCTTCACGAGTGCATCCACACCAACACCTGAAATGGCAGAATTTTCTTCATTTGCTATAAAGACTGCAACCACAGTGGACTTCAATTTTGGCTTTGTCTCTGCGAGCCGTCTCATGAGCTCAGCTACAAGTGCAACATGGCCCAAGCAATCAGTGGTTCCACGGCCACGAAGCTTATCACCATCAATGCTCAATGAGAATGGATCAAACTCCTGCAAATACAAGAATCATATTTGATGCACAATGGATCATCACTACCTAACAAAATTGAGAAAATAAAATAATGATGATCATTTTAACTACATCCCAGTAGTGATCCATTATTTGTACACAATGCAAACGAAAAAAGCAAGCTCCTGTAATGAAAGACTAAACTATCATTGCATACGGAACATTCAAAGAGCTTCAGAGCCTAAGCTGTGAAGAGAAAAAAAAAATTAATAGGCCACAGTTACGACATTTTATGGTTGACTTGAACTAAAGCTTACTGTCAAATTATGCAGACTGAAAGACCAAACAAGAACACAATAGAAAACAAAACATTTATCAAAGAAAATCATCGAAAACTCTGGTTAAACTTCACAATTGATTTTAGATGCATCATGGTGAACTAGAAATATATCGAACATCTGTTTTCAATTGAAATAAACACTAGATAAGGAGTTGGTAAGATATGGAGGAAGGATAAGCTAGCCGAAACCAAACCATAGTTATCAATGATTTGAAAAAGGTAAGGCCACACAGAAAAAATGAGAACTTCTGAATTTAATTTAGGCCAGAGACGAATAAAGGGCAGTTCAAAACCAATGAATTTTGTCAAAAATCGTGAGTTCTTTTAGCCAATCGAGTTCGACCTTGAATTGGACGCATAAAATCCCAGATATAATCAGAGAAACATAAATATTTATCTCCAAGGGGGAAACGCTAACCTGAAAAATATCAGGAGCATAAGTAAATAAAAAATAAACATTCAGAAAATACTGATGTGAATAGATAGCCTCGAAACCCCTAATGCCATAACCACACGAACCCAGATTAGTTTACACACAACTCGAAACAAGTAATAATCAAACTGAGGCTCCAGCTAATTCAGACAAACCCCATAACAGAAATGCCAAAAGAATCAGCATACAGGCACAATCAACAAAAACACAAATTGAATTGAACAGCTATTTATATGTTGAAGATAGACTGCCAAACTCTAATGTTCTTGAACGAATACAAGCCAACCCAAGATAACAAGAACAGAGCAAAAGCCAAAGATTAGATATAAGAAACAAACCCAGTCATTAGGATTTGCAGTGACCACGTCCATGTGACACCCCACAAAGGACAAGATCTTCCCAGGCACAGTTCCTGGGTATTCTACAATAACGTTTCCTCTGCCAGGAAAGTAGGTTACATGGTTGATCACCAAGGGTCCACCGCCTGTGGTGGTGCTAAGGGGCAGGAGGGAATCAAGCACGTGCTTGACCACTCGGTCCTCCTGAGGGATCAGTTCAGGTGGGTTGTTTTGGAGGTACTTGGACTCCCCAATAAGCTTGGAGAGAAGGGATATGAAGGAGTCCTTGTTGAGGTCACCTAGTATTTTCTTGAGGTCGGTTGAGGAAGCCATGGCTGTGAAATGAGAATTTTTTTTCTTTTGTGGGTTTTGGCTTTCGAAGTCGACCGGTATAAAGAGGGAGTGAGAGAGAGAGAAACAATAGCAGGGTGGAGTGTGGCTGACGACTTGGAACACGACAGTGGGAATTGCAAAAGGCAGAATTACAACTTTGCAAAAGGCAGAATCATAAGAAAATGTTAAATTTTGATGCCTACTTTACCCTATGCCTAGATGAAGAAATTGAAAATTACATAAAATTTTAAAATGACTGAATTTCGATTTCTATAATTTCAATTAATGGCAATTGAAGATTTCAGTGTTTAGATTTATAGTTATACATGTCTAATTTTGTAAATGACACTATGAAAATTGTGAAATGATGCCTATTTTGATATAAATTAAACTCGGGAATATGATGCTCTAATTTCCACCATTTTTTTCATATGTCATTTAGTAAATTCTACGCTTAACTTGCCAAACAAAGGAATTGTCAATTTCTTCTCTTAAATTCCCGACTTTTATAGTGCATTTGGATGAGGAAATTTCAAAGTACAAGGGATTTCATAAATGATAGAATTTAAAATGATAGAAATTAATATTATAGAATTTGTAAAGTTTCTTGTTTGGGTGACGGATTTAAAACATGAAATTTAACCTTTATTTGTAAAGTTATCTTTTTTAAAAACTCAATCTCTCTTGAGATTTTAGAAATGACGACTTTTAGATAGAATTTAAAGTTGGGATTTATGATATCCAAATTCCATGTTTTTTCCCACGTGGAATTTCTAAATTTCTATGTCTTTTTTATCCAAACACGGGAATTGGTTCATGTCAATTTAGAAATTCTGACTTTTGTCAAAATGCCAAGTTTATTTCCCTCATCCAAACACACTGTTAGCTAAATTCCGAGTTATTTTCCCTCATCCAAACAGAGGGTTAGATAAATTGCACTTCATAGGGCAAAACTCAGTACCCAAAAAATAGACGCATAATCTATCTAAAAATACTTATGTGGAAAAGAAAAAATAATTAAGGTTTCAGTTTCATATTATAATGCGTAAATTTGATATATCTCAAGTTGTGATTACAAGCATAAATATAGATGGTAATCTTTGCTAATTGGTATTCATTAAAGGGTACTTGCTTGGTGTACATTTGGAAACTTGTTTGTACATTTCTATTTAATGTTACATTTGTTTTGCTTGTTGTACACGTGGAAACTTGTTTGTGTAGTTCTATTTAATGTTATCTCTCTCTCTCTCTCTCTCTCTCTCTCTCTCTCTCTCTCTCTCTCTCTCTCTCTCTCTCTCATATTATAATGTTAGTTTGATTTGTTATATTGTAGGTTGCGGTTACAAGTATAAATATCGATGGTAATCTTCTTCTAATTGGTAGCCATCAAAAGGAAAAGGTGAGTTCTTGTCTACGAATGAAATTACACTTAAGGTTTGGGATTTTTTAGTTGGGCTTAAAAGTTGGTCATTCTAGTGTTTTTTCTTAAAAAGAAAAGATGTTTATTCTAGACTTTTCAAAATGCGGTCACTATTTTGGGAACTTTTATTGCTGGAATACATTTACTTGTCAAATTATGCTTCTTATTTGAATGCTTAGTTAGATATGACATTGTTGTGCCCTTTATTATTTATTCTTCTACATAAAAATAAAGGAAGATTGATTCTTTTCTTGTATGCCAAAAGCTTCTAAATAGTTTATTTTTTGTACTAATTTTTGTGCTAACCTTTAATGATTCCTGCCAAAAACAAAAACCTTTTATGATTATTCCCTAATGAAATAAATTTAGACTTTATTATAGTTTATGGCAAGATTTCTTTTGATAATGTGCCTTACACAATTTTTACTTTTATCATGTGGTAAGGTTTGTCTCTTGAGCAATTCAAGATTGTGATTCCTAAAATTCCTACATATTTCATGGTACGAAAATTTTCTCTTTAATTTTTATCAGCAAAGTTGTATTCATAGTTCTACTAGCACACAACGAGGAATATCCTTTACATTGTACTGTTGAATATTGCATATATATATATTTGTTCGTTAGTTCTATGTCCCTTAATTTTATCTTTTTGCTAGTTTGAACTGTTGATGAAGATTTTACTATGTAATTATACAATAGCATATTATAACACAACCTGCCCTATTAGCCTTGTTTTTTCACCCATGGTTTTTACATTGTGACTTTCTAATCCCTTAATCGGATTGTATGCAGTTAGTTAAATGTTACCTTTCCTTGCATTTGGGATAGATCTATGCATTGTTCAGATTAGATAAACATCTATGCATTGCATTTGAGTTGTGGCTAGTTTGGTTTGTTTTGTAATTCGCTTGTATACCTATTTTTTTCTTGTGTGCTTATATATAATGTCTTTGTTGCAATAAGATGACAAAGAAGAATAGTAACTTCACCATAACTGAAAATGTTGCAAGTGGATCTTAAAAATTGTCAGCATTGTGGAATGCTCAAACTATAGCCATCTTCATTGACCTTTGTATCAAGGAGGTGGATCTAGGCAATCGTCCCGGTACTCACTTTAATAAAGTATGATGGACAAAGTTGGTTATAAATATTAGTAAAGATATAGGAAGACCGTATTAAAAATTTCAATTGAAAAACAAGAGAGATTTACTAAAAAAAAGAATGAAAATTATGGAAAGATCTAAAAGGGAAGGAAACTAGTCTTGGGTGGAACGTCGCTAAGCATACTATTGATGCATTTGAGGAATGGTGGCAACATAAAATTCAGGTATTTGAATTTTTTTTGTTCTTGTTTTTATTATTGTTATTTTTTTATAACTATGTTTAAAAATTTATTCTAATATTTGTATGGGTCATAATGCATGCAGAACCCAAATATGCAAGATTCCAATTTGAGGGTATTAGTCTTGAGATGGAGGAGAAGTTAGATAGGATTTTTTGAATGCCACAACCACTGGTAAGTAGGCCTGGGCGCGGATCGGTTTGGAACGGTAAAGGGCTCTTCCATTAACCAAACCAAAGACTTCGGTAGAACATTTTCTCTTTCGTTAACCAAACCAAAGACTTCGGTAGACTTCGGATCGGTTAACCTAACATTTAGTTCGGAACGGATCGGTACCCCGGTAATACCGTAATAAAAACATACTAATAAAAATACAATTTATAATAATTTCACATGACATAAGTTCTTGAACAAATACAACAAATTATCCTTATAAAATACAAAATCAAATAACTTAATTTTAAAGTTACAAACGAACATTAAAACTACATAATAAAATAGCAAATTACGTTACAAAACAATAAGAAATTAGTTTAAACACTTCAAAGAACCAAAAATTGCAGCATAGAGGCCGAGTAATCTTCAATCCAAATCTGATTTGTGTATTGTAGCCAAAGAAAAACAAAGTTAAGAACAAATATCAAGTACATGGGCATGTTATTTGAGATAAAGGAAGGTTATTAATCATCATACCATTCAATATGTACTCAAGATGGACTAGCAACCACTTTCTCTTTCATTTGAGAACTAGAATATACCTCTACATCATTAAACAAATTATGAAATTGAGAAAATAAACATATGTCATATGAATGCAATTGAAAACCAAAAGAAATATAAAAAATTAAAATTACTTACCAGTCTCAATTTCTCCAAAGCATCATAGAACTCAAGTTCTTCCTTAGTGGGATTCTTGTACAAGGAGAACTCCTCAGCTTTCAACTAATCACTTGTGCAAACCAAGGCCTCTACCATTCTTGGAGTCAAAGAAGCACGAAAAGGATCTACAATTCTACCACCCAAACTAAAGGCAGATTCTGAAGCCACGGTAGAGATTGGAATGCCAAATACATCCTTGGCTATTTGGGATACAATTGGAAACCTTGGACTATTTTCTTGCCATCAAGCCAACAAGTCAAAGTTGGGATTTCTAAGATTTTCAGGTGGCTCTAACAAATATTTATCCACTTCATTTCTTATCTCAACAACATCCATCACTTGTCTCAACTTCATAAATTTAGACAATCTTTCTGCTTCAACATCATCTTCATCATTTACCATAATCGTATCCCCAATTCTCTCCAAATTGCTATTATTATAACCTTGGGCAGCCAATGGGTCAGCTACTTTATACACATCATACATGTGGATTAAAAAGTCCTTGACTCCTTTGTGTAACTCATTAACCTTGGAGGGATTGGATTCTATATCGGAAAGGCTAAATAAGGGATACTCCATTTTGTATTGTGGATCAAGAACAATTGCAATAAGCAACAATTTGTTAATGTCCTCAACCTTCCCCCAATACTTGTCAAACTTTCATTGATGTTGCTACGCTTTTTATGAGAGAATCCTCACTTCTACAAAACTTTTGCAATTGAACAAAAATAGCACACATTTGATGGAAAGCTTGGTGAGAAGTCACTACCATTGACCTACTAAATTTCAAAGTGGCTTCATAATACAACTTTAAGAACTTGATCAAGACTCTAGCACAATCCCAATCATTTGAGGTAGGAGGCCCTACTCTTTTTTTCTTATTCTCAACATCATCGTCCATAAAATAACCCACAAAGTGTGGGTCTCCATCATCCTCCAACATCCTTTCAAAAGCTCTTTGATACTTCAATGCCCCTTCCAACAATAAATAGGTGGAATTCCATCTTGTACACACATCTAAGGGCACAAGCCCTTTGATATCAAGTTTCTCAAAAGCAACACATCTTCTCCAACTCTCCAACCTTGCGGGAGAAGAATGGATGTACCGCACCGAATTAGTAATAGCCATAATGGAGTTATCCAATTCTTTAATCCCTTCAAACACAATTAAATTCAAAATATGTGCACAACATCGCACATGCAAACAATCACCACCAAACATAAGTGTCTTGCTCTTGGTCAACCTACCTTTCATATAACTTATCATTTTATCATTAAGAGTAGCATTATCAACAGTAATAGTAAACACTTTATCTATACCCCAATCATTCAAACAATAATCCAAAAGCTTTCGAATAGTTTCACCCTTATGGTTTGGAATGACACAAAAGCTTATAATCCTCTTGTGCAAGTGCCAATCAACATCAATAAAGTGAGCCGTAACCACCATATAATTTATCTTTTGAAGAGATGTCCATGTGTCGGTGGTAATAGACACCTTATGTGATGGGTGACTTAACACACTCTTGAATTTACCCTTCTCTAATTGAAAAAGATTCCACATATCTCTAGCAATTGTCCTACGAGATGATGGATCAAACTTTGGTTGGACTTCTTGCATAAAATCTCTAAACCCCACATTCTCTATATGGCTAAATGGAAGCTCATCACGAATAATCATCCGGGCACATGCAAGTCTAGATCTCTCCTTACTAAAGGACCAACTCACTATACTACCCTTATCCTCCTTGACAAATGATAAGATTTTTTGACTTTTGACATCTCTAAGTGGAGATGTCCTACATGTAGTATTTAAATAATACCATAAGGAAGAAGTACCATTACGGGAGTCAAATCCGTAATCTTGCTTACAATACTTACATATGCACCTAGGTTCATCATCATTTGTACCTTCTTCCTTCTTTAACTTATCAAAATGTTCCCACACATTAGACCGAGCTGCATCTTTTCTTTTTAAGTTATTCAGTGGTGGAAGTGGGGGATTGACATTTGTTGGACTATCCACAGATTGTGCAAAGGTTGGTGTAGGAGTTAAACTTGCTTTTGACATAAGACTAGTAGATGAACACAAATTAATTAAATTAAACAAAAAGATATGAGTGTCCAAAGAAATTTCCAGCGGCCGGAAAAACTTCAAACTGTTGGCCAAGACTTCCAGGTTAGGTAAATCACATGTAGTAAAGCAACTTTTGTTCTTGGACCTACCCCAAAAAGTCGACGAAAGTGGCCGGAATTGGAGGCCGAAACCGGCCAAAACTTCCATCGCTTGGAAACATTTCAAAACTCAGAAATTGATCCTAAATACCACAACCAGCAGCTAGAGTATGTTGAAAGGATAGAAATGCATACCAAGTTCGAAGAATTTGGTTGCCAGAATCCCCCGAACAAGCTCCTTCAAGTTATAGGTAAAACCGGCGACTTTTCTGCAATTTCCGGCTACCACGGGCAGCGGTGGAGGCGGCGAAGGGTCGCGATAGGAAGAGGGAAGTGATCTTGACGTTCTGATACCAATATCACGAAGTTTGGTGGCCGGTGGAGGAGATGGCGGAGGAAAAAACCGTTCAGATGAACAGTAATTTCCAGATTTCTGCGTGCAGGGAGAGAGAGAGAGAGAGAGAGAGAGAGAGAGAGAGAGAATTTCCAGATTTTTAACAAAACAACTTCAAGGAAATTAGGGTTAATGTAGGTAGTGTTTCAGTGTTTGGCAGTCTACAATAACTTAATATCCAGCCACTAATAAACATATACATATATTAGTATTTAAATAATAAAATAATTATAAATATCAGATCGGTATAGGTTTCCTTCGGATTATGGATTATGGATATTCTTGGACACTTTCATCTGCTGTACTTCCAGTTGAAAGTGATGATGATGTCAATCCATTTGAAGTTAACAGTGATTCGAATGAGTCTGTGCCAATTGAAACCACTCGAACTACAAACAATGTGCCAAAAAAGAGAACTAATCAATCACTTGAAATTTAAGATAATAATGAGAAGAAAGATAAATGAGGGGGGAAATGGGAGGTGCTGCAACATTATTACTATAAATTGAACATCTTGTTGATGTGATTGAGAGTAGGAGTACTGGAACATCAATGACTAATATAGTTTCACAAGGAACTAGTGTTTCTGAAGTGATGAAAGATGTTGCAACTTTACCTAGGGCAAAGCGTGGTAGCAAGTTGTGGTGGTTTGCAACTAAATTGTTTTGTGCTCAAGGAAAGAGAGAGATGTTTGTTGTCATGGAAGATCTTGACCTCAAACTTCAATTTTTTAATCATGAGTAGGATTGTATCTCCTACAGGATTCTAGATATATGCCTCATTTCAAGGTAACTATTGCATTTACTACTCTTAAGTATTTGTATATGCTTTATTATGTTATAATTAATTTTATGTTTTGGCTTTTATCACTTGTAAGATTGTAAGGGTGCTATAGATGGTGTTCATGCGCAAGCTATAATATCTCATTCTAATCAAATACCATTTATTAGTAGAAAAGGGGTACCTACCCAAAATGTGATGGTTGCATGCAATTTATATTTGCATGTGCCAGATAGGAAGACACGGTCTATGACACAAGGATATTTCTATCGGATTTACGTGATCAAAGTTTGAATTTTCCTAAACCTCCAAATGATACTATATCTATCTAAAGAAAAAAAATTCATATATTTTAGTTTTTAGTTTTTTACATTGTGAATACTCAATTAAATTTCGGAAACCTCCAAATGGTATTCAAGGTGAAGAGATTGAGAGAAAAGTTGATGCACAACAAAAAGATGCTCCTGTAACACAAGAAATGGAGATATTGAGAAATCAATAGCCTCAAGTTTAATGAGTTCATTTACTTAAAAATGTATATGATTGCTTGTTTATGACTAGTTTAATTTTTGTTATGACCATATTATTTATTAGCCATAACTCTATGGTTGATCAAAATGATCATCACACCCAGCAAAAACCAGAAAATGGTCAACACACTCATGCTATGACAGCTGGTACGCTCCAATAGTCACAAAGGCATATTCAACACAAGGACAAGCATATTTCTTGTTCTTATCTGTTGAGTCATCCTCAGGGGTCCTTGCCCTAGGGCTTCCTATATAGTCTCTTGTGTATATATATATATATATACACCTTTTACCTCAATTGTAAATTTCAAAAGCCACAACCTTTCATTATCTGATACATTAATTGTAACCCATTATCAATTTTAATAGAAATATAAACATTGCTTTTCTCAATACCTATAGATCTTTTTCTTTCTCAGTATGAATTCTATCATTATTGACAGTATATGTATTTTTAATGGAATACTCTCAAATTCTCTTGCACTCTTTATCTCAAAGCGCACTACACACACATCTTCTGTCATAATCTCCTTTTCATCCCCACTCTCACTTTACAACATAACACTTGTTTTGCATCCAACATCAACAGTTGATGATATAGTGAAAGAGTACATGCACCTCTTCGACATCATTATGTTTGCTAGTGTGACAGCATCTTCTAGCCACATCTTCGCCAAATTCAGATGAATTTGGCCAGAACACTGTGACCCCTATCCCTCATGCAATGTAAGTACTTTTTCCATCAACTCACTCTCTCTACATCTTATTCTATCACTTTTTCATAGTTTTTGGTTTAAAGAGTATATATCTACGTTTGTTCTTATCATGACTTTATGTCCAAGTAATGCTGTTATTTGGGAAGAGTAAACAATTTTGCCCCTCATAGCGTCCAACGATGCTAATGTTGTATAAGGTAAGCTACTGGAGAGGGGAGGCTTGGTGATCCAAGGATTCCACGACCTTGGTGTGATTGTGACTCTAATGGACGACAACAATGTTTTGGTACTTGTACAATGTCTAATGCCAGAAGCCCACATAGTGTGCCGATTAGGATTTGATTAGTTCATTGCATCTAATCAAATCTTTGTTATCCAACCCCCAACAAACAATGTCAGCAATGTTAGTATGCACAACGCGAGTATCTAATGAGTGGAGATATGCAAGCTCTGTGGAGTTTGATGGATTTTGGTGTTGTTAGGTGTTGTCTTCTATGTAACACACTATTGTGTAGCTTACATTAAGTTAATATATTTGATTATTATGTGTTGGTAATCAAAATGTTTAGTTGTTTTTTCTAGGGATGTTTTTATTGGCTATGTTAGGGAAGATTTTAGGACGTATGTTTAATTATTTTTATGTATTGTTTTATACTGATTTATTCTTACAAGTAAGTTGTTGCTTCTCTAATGCATAGTAATTTATTAACATATGTAGTCTTCTCATTCATTATTTAGATTCGTTTACTAATGTATGTAATAATATATCTAGTGCAGTATTCAGCTGATTCAAACCATTCACACACTGGAGCGGGTTTCAGGTTTTTGTTCTACAAAATTATAAAGTTTAAAGTGTAAGTTTCATCAACATACAATTACTCAATCAAGGGATTGCAACTTAGCAAACAATTTTTAGGGAAGAGGCCGAGCAAGAGTATAATGATGTTGATTCAAATGATGTTCCAACTGTTATTCCTTAGTTCATGAAATTCAGACATACTGCTTTTGAAGAAAAATGTAAAGGGGAAAGGCCAAAACAAGAGTCTATATGTTGATGATTTAAGCTCTTTCCCTTGCCAAACATGGATGGAAGAAAAATTTAACCCTACAATTGGCAATATTAGAATGCCAAAAATCTTCAAAAGCAATCATTTCAATAGTGTGAATTAAATGGCGGCTAAACCTCATAGCTGTTTTATAGAAATATTGTGAATTTAGAATATAAAAAAAAAAAAAAAAAAAAAAAAAAAAAAAAAAAAAATCTCAGTCATGGACTGGAGCAGTTTATCGACATCAATTCTAAAACCAATGACATATCTCAACTTTGTGATAGGCTTGATGTCTAGTGTAGTACTCGACTCATTCAAACAATTCACACACTAGAGCGAAGTTCAAGTTTTTTGCCACAAGATCGTATGATTCAATTAAAGTTGAAAGTGGGGTGTTCCATCCACATATAATTTCTTAATCAAGGGATTGTAACTTAGCCAACAAATATTTAGGGAAGAGGCCTCAACATAAATACAATGATGATGATTCAAATGTTGTTCCAACCACTATTCTTCAGTTTAGAGCATTCAGACATGCTGCTTTCGAAAGATGTAAAGGGAAATGGCCAAAACAAGAGTATTGTTGATGATTCAAGCTCTTTCCTTGACCCAACATGGATGTAAGAAAAAGTGACACTAAAATTGGTAATGTTGAAATGCGAAAACTTTTCAAAAGTAATCATTTCAAGAATGAATCGAATGGTGGCTAAACCTCCATATTTGTTTTATGAAAATATTGTGAATTTAGCATATGATTCTTGGACAAAACATTCTCAGTTCTTGTATGCCTTGAATAAAATGGAAGGCTAAATACGTTAATACTCAATTCTTCTCGGCCTTAAGTAGAAGGGAATGCTAGAGCCATTAATGATCATTGAGAATGTTGTACCATATATAAAGAAATGGTCAGCTTTATGGGATACAATAAAGCAATTGACTGACATTAGTTCTGAAACCAACGTCATATCTCAACTTTGTGACAGGATTGGAAAGGTACTTTTTGATTCTCATAGACTACTGTTATTTGAATAGTAGAGAAACATTCTTCATTAATGTCACTCATTAAATCTTGTATGGGTTAGACAGTACAAGATGGGCCCATATATAGCCTGAGTATTTAGAACATATCTTAGGCTACCCATTGAATTCCACTTAAGCTTTTGAGAGTAATTTAATAGAAACACTTCTTTCACTCAAATATGTCAAACTAACGACTAAAGCAACTACATTTCTTCCAATAAATTCATCACAAATAAAATATAATGGGACCTACTATTGATTCTGAGAAGATGACTTTCTTAATTTTCGACCATGTTTGCCGACTCTCAATTTCCTCACCATGTTAGTAAGTTTCACCGCTATTTGGATGGGCCCAAACAAGCTCGTGCACTTGGTTTCAATGTTTTTCTTCACATTTGGAACATTTG